CCAGGGCGTGCAAACGGGCAGCATTTGGGCGCTGCGAAGTAAGTGAGATTTGTTTGCACCAGTAACCGCCCAACTGTAACTCTCCCTCTCTCTCTCTCTCTCTTAGTGATCGACTCTTGGGGCCGTTTGCCAGCGGGCATGCTCTATGGCAATCGGAAGGATCTGGGCAATTTTGATGAGTGCATTAGGGTGGACCAGCTCGCGGCCAGCACGGGCCAAAGTCTGCGCGGCAAATACTGCATGGCCAAAGTGTTGTCGGCCAGCATGTTGGGCGGCAATGTCGGCGCCCTGGGCATGATGAGCGTGCAGACGGCTGTCTGCCTGCCCGCCAGCTGCACGGGTGAGCACATGGAGACGCTGCTCCGTCAGTTTTTCAAGCAGCTGCTCAACATTGAGCTGAGCACCGAGACGCAGCTGATCAATGACGCCAAATGCCAGACCGCGGAGCGTGAGTCCCTTGATGGTCTGGCCATATTTACCATGTAAGTGTTGCCAAATGCTGCACTGCATCCGTCCAGCCAGCTCACAGATATGTCTTTACAGTGTGCTCATGTGTGTCCTGGTCGCTGCTCTGCTGCTGGCCACGCTCTACGATTACTTCCTGTGCGCGGATCAGAGTGAGTAGCTAGCTAAGCATAATCCCGCTGCTTCCGTTTTCTGATCGAGGCATTCCCCATTCTTCCAGAGCATTTGCCCGCCTTGGTCAAGGTGTTCTCGGCACGTGCCAATTCGCGTTCGCTCTTCCGCATTGTGGACAGCAAAACGAATCCAAATGTCATCGACTGTCTGCACGGCATACGCTGCCTCTCGCTTATCTGGGTGATTTACGGCCATGACTATTTCATGCAAGCCGTATCGCCCAACATTAATCTGGTGGATGTCATACCGGTTGGTTGGAACGCAACCTCAACTATTGCTCATTGGCCAAACTAATCTGCTTTTTCCATATATCCTCCAGTGGTATCGATCGCCCTTCAGCATGTTCATTGTGCACGGCCTCTTCTCCGTGGACACCTTCTACTTTCTCAGCGGCCTGCTTGTCGTTATGGTTGCTCTGCGCTCCATGGAGAGGTAACTATACAGGGAAATCCCCCGAATTGAAAAAGAATTCGGTTCAGGGTTCGATTCAATGGGATATCTGGCTTAGGCGAAGAAGTTTAAATCTTTAGATAAATTGTTGATGATTCATTTATTTTAACGAAAGATTTCTTATATATAAAATTAGCTCCATGGAAAGGTAGCTTTATCTTATACACATATTCAAGTCAGGGAAATCCCACGCATTGAAAAATAATTCGGTTCAGGGCTCGATTTATTTCAATAGAAATTATATCTCTTATATTTAAAATTAACGAGTTAACACCATGGGGTTAACACACTTTATCATATACACATATTCAATTCAAGGGAAACCCCCCAAATTAAAAAAGAATTCGGTTCAGAGATCGAACTAATGTGATATCTGGTTTAGACAATGAAGTTCAAAAGATAAATTATTGATGATTGATTTATTTTCATAGGATATATAGTAATAATAATAATATTAATTTACACCTAACCTCACTTTTCTCTCTTCCAGAACCAAGGGCAAGCTGAATGTGCCGCTGATGTATCTGCATCGTTATCTGCGCCTCACGCCTGTCCTGGCCTTTGCCATACTGTGCTACATGAGAATCCTGCCCATCCTGGCCACTGGTCCGCTCTTCAAGGGCCTGGCTAGTCAACTCTCGGCGCCCTGCGAAAACAACTGGTTCTTGACCTTGCTCTATGTGCAGAACTATGCCACCAACACGGTGGTAGGTGACAAGTGCCAATATTAATCTATCAATTCAAACTAATCTTTGTCATTGCAGTGCCTGCCCCACAGCTGGTATCTGGCCGTGGACATGCAGCTGTATATCATCTCGCCCCTGTTGCTGATTGCGCTCTACAAGTGGGGCAAAAAGGCCATTGCCGGCATTGTGGTGCTCATGCTGCTGTTGGCTGCCTGCCTCTTCAGCATGATGGTAGTGCGGGGCTACAGCTTGTAAGTATATAGCCTAAGGGCATTATTTGCCAGGCAGTTAACGTTACAGTGCTGCCAATTGATATTACTTTAACGGATGGCAACACTGTTAACAAAGAAACGATAGCTGTTAACTACTTAAACCCGCTCGGGTTTTCGAGCTTCGATAATTACTTTATCAATTACTCATCTTAATGTTAATTGTTAAAATATTTGCCAGGCGGTTGCAAATGCAGTGATGCCAGTTTGCAATTTGAATTTTGACTTGCTAGAATTGCAGTGCTGCCACCTGGTTGTGCGCGCAAATGGCAACGCTGCTTGCAATGTACATTCTAATATTAATTAGACAGCCACTCAATTGTTGCAGTTATCTTTTCCTTAACACGGGCACTGTTTAAATATTTTGTATTTTTTATAGATCTTCTGGTGGCATGTCCAATGAGATATATTTTACGACGCACACGCGCGCCTCGCCCTGGATAATTGGTCTAATCTTTGGCTATTATCTGCATGTGAATCGCGGCAAAACCGTTAAGCTGAATCCTGTGACCGTCTGGCTGGGCTGGCTCATCAGCCTGGGCCTGATCTTCACCTGCCTGTTCGCGCTCTATCCATATCAGGCGAATGGCAATCCCTTGCACATCGTTAATGAGGCCTTCTATGTGACGCTCACACGGATTGCCTGGCCCCTGGCACTCGTTTGGCTGGTGTTCGCCTGCAAATATGGCTATGGCGGATTGGCCAACAGCTTCCTCTCCAGCCCACTGTGGCAGCCGCTGTCGAAGCTCTCCTACGGCGCCTACATCTGGCACATACTCATCGAGATCCTCAATAGCGGCATCACGCGCACCAGCACCTACTTCAGCAACTATCAAGTGGTGGGTTATCTTTCGGATTATCTACTGGGCTTTCTTCCATATATCTATAATGTGCATATATATAAATGTGTCTTGTTTTTTTTTGCAGATGTTGCGCTTCTGGCATGACTTTGGCTTTACCATTTTGTTGGCCTATTTCATGTTCATTTTGGTCGAGGCCCCTTTCGGCGGCTTGGAGATGTTATTGTTGCCCGCTCGTGCGCCCAAAGCCCAGCCTCCTCCAGTTGCACAGAGTGTTCAGTCAAAGAGCCCAATAACTGAGCCGGAGCCATCGAGCATTGAAATTGCGCCAGCGCTGGAGCCCAAAACAGCACCGATTAGTTAGGTTGTGAGACGCTTTCTTTAATTTCTAAGTAGCTTAATTTATTCAAAACACATCAAATCTACATATTTATACATATTTAGCAGTATTTTTGAAAATTATCTTAATAATATGTGTTACGGCAACAAATCATTTTAGAAGATGCGATTTAACGGTTTATATTATCGATAATGCAACTATCGAAGGCCGAACTTGGCAGGGCTGCAATAGAGCTTATGAGTTCAGGGCTGCAAAATTCACGCGCTTAGAAAATGGGCCGTTACACTTTGAAATGTAGTTTACTTTTTTATGCTTTTAAATGGAATTCCAACAATATGCAATTACGAACAGCTTCACGGCTGTAAAACGGATCTGAGCCGAAATGATTTTGCTTTCATATTCCAATTAAATCTGGCTTATTGGATGCGGACACCAGCATTACGATTCGAATTCGAAAATCAGTTGAGCAGACCATCGATTCGATAAGGAGAGCAATAGAAGAGTCTATTCCTCTTTCAGTCGCACCAGACATAACCCGTCAAGGGTTCTGTTTAACAGATTATAATAAATATTAAGTTGGCAAACCAAAAATTTTAAGCCCAAACGTATGCAATCTTTTTACAAAAGCATAGAGAAGTTTTTAAAATCTGTTCGCTGCTTTTGGAGGTTTTTTTAAAGTGCTCGAAAATGGCATATTTTAGAATTTCGAATTCCATAATTTAGAATAATTATTTTCGAAAATGGAAACTTTTAGAAATTAATAGCCCAGAACTTAGAATATTTAGATGGGAAAATGGCAACATTTAGGATTTAGAATGCCAGAATATAGAGTATTCATTTTCGATTGAATGTAATTTTATTTCTATGAAAAATATTTGTTTTCTTGTTTTCAGCTTTCACTTTTAACATACACTTTTTAATTTTATTTATATTTTTTTCAAAAACTGCAAGGAAATGATCTATGAAAATTAAATTTAAAGTATTGTAGAGCTTTGCAGCGCTTAAAGTGTGTCTGTTTCTCAAATTCTTGGCATATACTTTAAGATATACTACAATACTATAAGTTCGAGATTAGCTAAAGGAGCAGGATGTTGATATTGATTCCTATCGATAACTTGAAGATGGCGTAAGTTATCGATGATTTGCTGAGTCTCTAGCTCTAAAAGTCCCTGAGACCCATGGACAGACGGACATGACCAGATCGACTCGGCTATTGATTGATTGATTGATTGATTGATTGTTAAGAATGTATATTCTTTATAGGGTGCGGGAGACCTCCTTCTGGCTATTACCATTAAAATCTTTTTATCCATTTTCATAGAGCTACTTCCTACTCATTCAAGTGCGTGACTCTATTATTTGTATTCAAATATTGATTAAAGTGTAGAGCATAATTCGAATTGTTTTCAATTGTGATAAGCCCGGCGGCTAGATTACTTAGATAGTGTCATGAATGGAACATTTACGAGTCATTCGAATTGGACAATAAAATTTCGTAGCACCTTATCAAATAGCCCATAAGTAGCCGACAATCGACTACGCCAAACTGATTCACAGCTGGCTGCCGTAAGGTTTAATTGCGATTATAGTCTTTGGACTGGCTTCGATCTGAAGGCCTCTCTGCCAGCCACATGACGAGCAAGTTCGGGGCACAGCTGGCACAGCTAATCGTATCATGAGGAAGGTCGTTTCATAGTTAAAATATGTTTATTTAAATACGTTTAGCTTACCTTAGGTTCTACTTAAGCATAAGTTTATATAAATATTATATAAATAACAAAAAAAAAAAATAAACTATTATTATTTATACTAATACACACTTTATGTGCTCGCAGGTGGAGCACTCGTCGAGACAGCAGGGCCCGCTTCCAGATCGGACGCCAGCTGTGGGATGGGCGCCTTCTCGTTGAGCTGTGGAGCTGGTTCCACGATTGCCGCCTGCTTGGACTCGGCGGAGATTGCTGCCTTTGGGCTGGGCCGGCGAACGGGCAGCATCAAGCTCTCCAGGCCGCCCAGCGGCGCCTCAATGATGATGTACATGAAGTAGGCGGTCAGCACGGTGAAGCCAAAGTCCGCCCAGAATTTCAGCATCTAACGGAAAAAACCCAGATGGGAGCAGCTTAGTTGAGTTCAAGGAACTGGCTCCAGCGCTTACCATTTCGTAGTTGGAGAAATATGTGCTGGTCTGGGTACGTCGGCCATTTATTTCCTGTATCATAATGTGCCACACGTAGGCCGAGTAGGAGAGCTTCGACAGGGGCTGCCACAGCGGGCTGGAGAGGAAGCTGTTGGCCATGCCCCCATAGCCCTGCATGCAGGCAAAGACCACCCAGCAGAGGCCGATCGGCCAGGCGATGCGGGTTAGCGAATAGTAGAGGGCATCGCTCAGCTGCGACAGATCCGGACCGGTCCACTCAACATATGGCAGCAGCACAAATTCGCACAGAAACAATATGGCAAGGGCGGCTATCCAGCCGGTCCAGACGGCGACTCGGCTCAGCTTGAAGGATTTGCCACGATTCGCGTGCAGGTAATAGCCGAAAACGCCGCCAATTAGCCAAGGTGTGCCGTGCATGTGAGTGCCGAAATAGAGCATTCGACCATCTGGACCATTTCCAGCGTTTCTGCAGAGCAGCCGAAGAAGATAGTGTTAAGTGAGGTTAGGTTGGGTTAAGTGAGGTTATGTTGCGTTCGCGTGGGGTTAGAATAGGATTAGATAAATGGCATGGAATAGAAAGCTCAAGATTCCATCATTTGTATTCCATTGTAATACTTTACAGCCTTTCTGCAGAGTAGCAGAAGAAGAAGAAGTGTTAAGCGAGGTTAGGTAGGGTTAAGCAATGATATAAAGTGAGGTTATGTTGGGTTAGGGAGGGGTTCGAATGGGATTAGATAAATGATTAATGGGAAAGAATGCTCAATATTCTATTATTTGATTTTAGTTGTCAATTTTTACAGCACTTTTGCAGAGCAGCAGAAGCTACAGCAGAGCATTTAATGTTAAGTGAGGTTAGGTCGTGTCAGAGTGAGGTTAGGTTAGGGTTAGCTGAATGTCATGGAATTGGATGGTCTACTTTCTATTATTTAATTTCCCTCAAATACTCACTTGGCGAACATGGAAATATTCTTGACCATCATGACGGTAAACAGCCAAACGGTTAACAGGACTATGAGCACCACAGCGCCAATGGCCGCCTTTTTGCCCCATTTGTAGAGCGCAAAGAGCAGTATGGGGGAGAGTAGATACATCTGCATGTCCACGCTGAGGTACCAGCTATGGCTGAGACACTAAATACACAGTGAGAACCGTTGACATGCATGTTAAGGGTGCCTGGTAAATATGTCGCAACCATTGTACTTACAATATCATCGGTGGCATAGTTCTGCACATAGAGCAGCGTCAAGTACCAGGTGCGTGAGCATTTGCTGTAATCGTCGAAGCCCTTATTCAGCGGACCATCGACCAGCACCGGTATCATCGTCATGTAGACCAGTATGGCCATGGCCAGGAGAGGGGTGAGCCGCAGATAGCGATGCAGATACATCAGTGGGACATTCAGCCAGCCCTTTGTTCTCTCCATGGAGCGCAGCGCAATCATTACCACCAGCAGGCCGCTCAGGAAGAAGAAGGTGTCCACGGCGAATACGGCTTGTATGATGAGACGGGCGAAAGGTCTCTCGATCCACTGAAAAGGACAATAATATGTACTTAGGAGTCTCTTCTTTATCTTCTTCTTCTTATCGTATCGCCTACATGGATCAGACTGCCGTGGTTGATATTGGGAGCAACCATGCCGAACATGTACTCGTGTCCAAAGACCACCCATATGAGGGACATGCAGCGCATGCCATGCAGGCAATCGATGACATTCGGATTGGATTTGGGCTGGGTGATGCGGAACAGGGCACGGGATGTGGCGCGTATCGAGAAGACCCTTATCACGGACGGCAAACGAGCTGGCAATGCAATGATGGAAGATTTAGTATGGAGATGGAACAGGGTATCGGCTTCGGGTGCTACTCACTTTGATCGTGGCACAGAAAATAATCATATAAGGTGGCAAGAAGTGCGAGTCCAGCAAATATGGAGAGGAGCACACTGTAAAGTCCAAGGTTTAGCAACGGTTAGTTCGAGAAGGATGTTCGCACTTACATTGCCAATATGGTCAGACCATCGAGAGGTTCACGTTCGTCGGTGCGGCAAGTGTTCTCATTCACCAGCTGCACGGTGTTTGTCACGCCGAGAGCCTGCTGGACAACCTGGTTCAGGAACGTGTCCATGTGTGCCGCCGTACACGAGGAGGGAAAGCAAATGCCAATCTTGAGCTTGCTGCTCCGCATGATCGGCGAATCGACGCCCAGTAAACTGAGAAAGGGCAACTCCGCAAGACAGTATTTGCCCCTAATGGCATCCTGGCTAATCTTGATGCACTCCCCATAGTTGCCGATATCGACCAGATTGAGGTACAGTATGCCCGACGGAATAGAGCCCCACGCATCGATCACTAGAGAGAGAGAGAGAGAGAGACAGAGAAAGAGAGGGAGAGCGTGAATGTGATCCTTTGTTCAAATGGGAATCGATCTAGGTCAACACACTTTTCAGAGACCAATAGCTGCCCGAGGTTAGACCCTTCATCCACAGACTCATATCGGCCATGCACTGCAGATCCTCCGTGCTCGGCAGACGTGTGCTGGGTATATCCAAGTCCTGCATCGTTATGTTTTGAAAGTATCGTACGAAATCGACGCCCAGAGACTGCAGCTTCATCAGTTGTTGATATTCCTTCGGTTCGATGTGATATTCCTGTGGCAACTCCACATCCAGCCCCATGGCGCTGGCGAGCACCAGGGCACAGAGCAGGTTCAGCAATGTTGCCAACGTCTTGACCATGTTCGATCGATTTGGGTTTGGGTTTGGCTTTGTGGACACCGGGACCGTAGGTTTTTATATAGTAATGCCCATCGTGGTCGGAGAACCTTTCGTCGTATTGTCTGGAGATAAGCGATAGCGCTTACCCCGAAAGACCTTTATCTGGCATGTGTGTGAAGTGCTTTGCATGGGTAATCTGTATATTAGTGTATAAATGTTTTTATACCCTTGCAGAGGGTATTATAATTTTGTCGTGAAATGTGTGACGCATAGAAGGAGACATCTCCGACCCCATAAAGTATATATATCCATGTCCGTCTGTTTACATGCGTACTAGTCTCTCAGTTTTAAAACTATCGTCATGAAACTTTGCAGAAATCCCTCTTTCTGTTGCACGTAGTACCTATGTTGGAACCAGCTGGATCGGATCACTATATCATATAGCTACCATAGGAACGATCGGTCGAGAATTAAGTTGTTGTATGGAAAACTTTTTTGTTTTGCAAGATATCTTGACCAAATTCAGCGTTTATTAGTTTTACTATGCTCTTCTTATATTTGCAAAATCCTATCAACATCGGACAACTATATCATATAGCTGCCATAGGAACGATCGGTCGAAAATTAAGTTGTTGTATGGAAAACTTTTTTGTTTTTCAAGATATCTTAACCAAACTCGGCATTTATTAGTTTTACTATGCTTTTTATATATTTGCAAAATCCCATCAACATCGGACAACTATATCATATAGCTGCCATAGGAACGATCGGTCGAAAATTAAGTTGTTGTATGGAAAACTTTTTTGTTTTTCAAGATATCTTGACCAAATTCAGCGTTTATTAGTTTTACTATGCTCTTCTTATATTTGCAAAATCCTATCAACATCGGGCAACTATATCATATAGCTGCCATAGGAACGATCGGTCGAAAATTAAGTTGTTGTATGGAAAACTTTGTTGTTTTTCAAGATATCTTAACCATACTCGGCATTATCTATTTTCCTTGTGCTTCTTAGATACTATGAGCATTATGAAAAGGTTGGGTCTGCAAGGGTATTAAATCTTCGGCTTGCCGAAGATAGCCCTTCTTTATCGTTTTTTTTTTGTTTTTTTTTTCAGGAATTGGGTTGTTGTCTTCAGGGGATATCAAGATTTGCGTTTAAAGTGGGCAACCGAAAGTAGCTTTCGATTATCAAGTCTAATATGCCATGCCAATCAATGCCATTTCATGTTATTCCACAGAAACAATACAATATGGAAAATGCTATAAATGCAAGACGAAGTTCAAAGTAAGCTAATAAATCAATCGATCTGGATTAAGTTATGGCTAATTTTTAACCGCTCAATTTTCGGGAAACACTTCTGCGGACTTTAACAGAAATTTGCCATTTGTTTATGACCCGAATCAACTGAAAATTCTGGAAATGTGTGTAAACATATTTTTGATCACGATGACGAGATAAATAATATAGCTATTCATTTCCTTCTGTCTGTCCGCCTGAAAGACTGAAACACCTGAAAGCTAGAGACTTAAAGTATATATTCCCTATTCCATGCGCTTCGTTTCTTCTCTCGATATCTTCTTCTAATATTACTTAAAATCTATTTCGAGGGATAACTCCAACTTTATAAGAGCTGGATACACAGAAGATAGATTTTTGTAGAGAATAGTTCACTTATTGGATACCTTTTTCGGTCCTTCCTCTGTCTGAAAGACAGCATTGCGCCGTAGACCCTTAAGCTCTGAAAGTATCACAAAGATCGGACTATAAAGACCGAGTGTTAGGCAAGAACGCATTTTCCAGAGAAAGAGCAGAACCCTCCCGCGTGTTGTGTATTAGTAAAATTTCTTGGTTCTAGATTTGCGTGATTTGGCCGTTTCCTTTTAATTGAATCCGTATTCTGTAGTCTTTAGACAGGCACCAATAGAGACCAATATGCTCTTTATCGATTCCCGAACAGAGCATGATTGTTATTTTTAATATTTATAGATTGGCTGAGACCAGAGTGTGCCGTCGTCCAGTAGCCCATAAAATAAACACTTGAGTTATCATCATCAAATTCCTAACTAAACACTTCAAGTCTCTGTTCACAGGTGAGTCACATTCAAAATAAGTTTGTGCAGCGAGTTAAATTGGTTTAGTCACGCGCCTAAAGTTAATATACATAATATACAGAAAATTAGCATATTTCTAATTTTACTCTAGAGTTTTTCCTGTTTCGCCCTCAACGTGGGGCAACAATCGGTTTTATCTCAACTTGTTATGGCCCCATAAAATCCTAACCTTGCCCCATAGCAAAGAACCGCCTTGAGTCTTTATTAAACCAATTAACCACTTGGTCAGCCAACTGAGATATTGATTGTGTGTGATAGCACCCACCAGACCTAGTCCCAACCTAGTGCCACGCCAGGCGGTCTGTGGCCAATTGTTCGCCCATTATCTGCCCCAGTCTCTGATAATCCAAAGACACGAGCATGCGACATGATTGATATGTGGATCGAATTAATATCTCTGATCTCAGATCGTTTTAATTCTTTGTGTTCTTAATCATAATATTCAATTTAATTAGTAGTTCATTGAGCAACTATTAACCGGCTTTGCGCGGTCTAAGCATTTGGTTGGGGAAAAATAAAACCTAATATCATACTTTATTGATTCAAATGGATCGGATTGGTTTGTCCGATTTATGTCAAATTTAGAGGAAAATCCCACATTTTTAATTGGCCTTACGAATTATAATATACTTAAGTTGACAAATTAAAAAGTTATGAATTTACACTTCTGCAAGCCTTATTTTCCATTTGCTGCTCGTGGTTATGGGAACTATTATATGTGTGTGTGTGTGTGTGTGTGTGTGTGTGTGTGTGTGTGTGTGTGTGTGTGTGTGTGTGTGTGTGTGTGTGTGTGTGTGTGTGTGTGTGTGTGGTGTGTGTATGTGTGTGTGTGTGTGTGTGTGTATGTATGTATGTATGTATGTGTATGTATGTATATATGTATGTATATATTATATATGCACTTATATATATGTAAATGAAAGTATGCATGTGTGTATGTTTACCTTTAGATGCGTATTCTTAACTAATGCCCTCCTACTCGATTCTCATAAATTCAAGTAAGCCTCATAGCCTTCACTCATAGTCTTTAAAATTGAAGGAGGCGGCTTGAGCAAAGGAGGAGACGGCGGCTCTAACCAAAGTGGAGGCGGCGGCGGTATTTCAAGTAGAGGAGACTTCAGCTTGGGCATAGGAGGAGATTGCGACTTCAACTAAAGAGGAGTCGGCGGCTCTAATATTGGAGGAGATGGCGGCTTCAAATATGGCGAAGGTAGCAGCTTAACCAAAGTAGGCGGCGGCGGCGGCATTACAATTAGAGGAGACTGCAACTTAAAGAAAGGAGGAAACGGCAGCTTTAACCATGGAGGAGCAATGGAGGTTTACCTTTAGATGCGTATTCTTAACTAATGCCCTCCTACTCGATTCTCATAAATTCAAGTAAGCCTCATAGCCTTCACTCATAGTCTTTAAAGTTGGAGGAGGCAGCTTGAGCATAGGAGGCGGCGGCGGCATTACTATAAGAGGAGGCTGCAGCTTGAGCATAGAAGGAGACGGCGATTTCTACTATTGAGGAGTCGGCGGCTTCAACTATTGAGGAGTCGGCAGCTTGGGCATAGAAGGAGACGGCGGCTTCAACTATTTAGGAGTCGGCAGAAGCAGCAGGCGGCGGCTTCAACTATTGAGCTTGACCAAAGGAGGCGGCGGCTCTAGTATTGGAGGAGATGGCGGCTTCAGCTATTGAGGAAGCGGCGACGTCGGCTTGCACAAGGGAGGAGGCAGAGGCCATTAAAAAAAACTGGTACGTATTATAAACAAAACTATGTTTTATTATATTTAGAAAAAATTAACTATTACAATCGTATGTAGACACGTTGGTTTGCATGTATTTGCGTACATACGTGTATGTATGTATTTGAATATGTGCGCATGTTGAGCTGAGCTAAAAATGAACATAAAACATATTCATATTCATTATTGCTCTACTATGCGATTCTCACTAACTCAAGTAAGCTGCGATTTAAAGCTAATAAACATTTTCTGTGCTCTTCTGTTCTTTCAGGGATGAGGCTAAATACTGCTAGATGACGATCAAATAATTATGCGTGTGAATTGTCAGGTGAGTACGCAATTATATATTACCATATATATTACATATTATACTGACTGACTGACTGACTGACTGACTTATTGGTGATCAACGCAGAGCCCAGTAGACAAGTAGACATGGAGTTCAAGATAGTTCTAGCTAGATTTATATTTTCGACGGGCGGCAGCTGGGAAATAAAGTTATTTCAAAAATGTTAAGCTCAAAACTTGCCACGGACAAGGCCGGGGAATACCCGCTGGTATATATATATATATATATACCCTGTAAATGGACATCTTAAAATGTTTGTTGTCTGTAATTGATTCAACAGACAGACGAACAAGCAAAGCACAACTTATTCATTTCACTTTCTGAACGAGTAGAATGAAAACAACAAATATGGAAATTTACATTTTTTTCTCCACCCGAATTCTTTTTGTTGTAGTGCTGAAAAGTAAAAGTAAGCACGTTTGACTATTTAGAAATAAAAGTTAGCACTTTCGACAGTAAATAACATTATTTCAGCTGCTGTTAACTAGCTGTTAACACGATGTTAACAAGCTGTTAACTGTAGCTGTTAGAACAAATGCGCACATCTCAATCATAAACGTGACTTTGCTTGAAATACTTAATATATTCTTTTCGCATTTTGAAAGATGAGAATGAAAGCAACAACAAAAGGAATTTATACATTTTCCCCCTGAAATTCTATTTGTCATAATACTAAAAGTAAAAGTAAGCACTTTGACTCTAATTAACATAATTTCAGCTGCTGTTAGCGTGCTGTTAACTTTGGCTGTTAGAACTAATACGAAGATCTCAATCATAATCATGACCTCGGCTATAATTCTCAATATTTTCTACTCACTTTCTTAAGAAATAGAATGAAAGCAACAACAAACGGAATTTAAACCTTTTCACCCCGAAATTCTATTTGTAATAATACTGCACTTTAGACTCTAATTAACATATTTTCAACTGCTGTTAACTGGCTGTCAGCTCGCGGTTAACACGCTGTTAACTAGCTGTCAACTAGCTGTTAACACGCTGTTAACTGTAGCTGTAATTCAACCTAGCTACATTTATGGGCATTACTTGCTTATATAATAGCTCGCCCATTAGGTTCTTAATTATTGTAAATTGTAAATTGCGTATTTGTGTGTGGCAGGTGGAGAACACGTGTTGGCCGAGTTGAATGAACCCTCCGCGCAACTAGTTTTTATAAATATCAAATCATCTATTGTCGATCGTTACGCAGCTCGGTTGGCAGTGAAAGCTTGAAAAGCTTCCCAGCCACCTGAACTTTTAGCCATTTTTAGCACCTCAATCAAGAGTTATGCCTGCCGTCAAGGTCGCAGCTGTCGAACGATTCGTATGACACTATATTATACGCGACTATTACGAACGTGATTTTTCGACTTAATGATAGAGCTTTGTTCAAACAATTGTTTGCTTATCGGTTGTTGCTCCGATTGTGCAAAAAACTACAAAAAAAAAAAAAATACAACAAATTGAGAGTGCTCTCTGCCCGTCAGGGGTTGGCTGAGAGATACCCTGTAACTAACTGAAATTTGGTTAAAAATTGTGTAGCTAAAATAATGCAGGATCTGTGTATATATTAGATGTATTATACACATTATTATATAATATATTATAATAGGTATATATTAGATGTTCCTTGTTTCAAAAACAATATTTATCGTTTGCTTGGTAACATTCTATATATTGAATATATATGCATATATATATACATATATGGAAAAATTCTAGCTCCAGGTGGGGCAAGGATTGTTTGCAAAATATTAACAACAACGCAACGAATGTCAAGTCCTAAAGCCTGCATGGCTAAGCTGTTCGAGCATCGGACCAATAAGCGAAAGGTTGCTGGTTCTAATACAGCTGAAATATTCCTATATATAACGACATATTTATTGAAATATATATAGAGAAAATATATGAATATTAAATTAAGTACAATTATATCATCTTTTTACTTTGATTAAAACATATCACATAGAAAAATTACTTCGTGATTAGAACCAGCAAACTTCTGCTTCTCGGTCCGACGCTCAAGCAGCTTAAAGCTCGCAAGCTTTTCAAAATACCTTGAAAACGGTTTTACCCTAAAATTTTGCTCATATATCAACAAAGAGTGTTACCAAGCCAACAAGCTGTGTCGGAAAAGCTTTCTACGATCAGATATTTACAGGGTATACGAATGAGAAAAGAAAAATTGATATAGAGCCATGACGAATTTGTCTTGTTCAGGCAGATGGCAGCTCAGCTGTTGGATAATTGTTGTTAAGTAATTTATTAAAAAATAATAAAACAAGTAAGAGGTTCTAGTCGGGAGCTCCCGACTAGGGGATACCCTGAACCCTCTTCTTCCGACAGGCGATAGGTATAAAATGAAAAATACTTGATATATACATATATACTATTCTAGAAGCTACATGTCAAGTTTGGTGACTCTAGTTCATAATTTTTGCCGATTTTTATCGATTACTTGGAAACGGGGCAAGTTATCGAATATCGGAAACAAACTCGATCTGCGCGGGGAGTAGGAGGACCTACATCTAAAATTTCAAATCTCTAGCTCTAATAGGTTCTGAGATCCTTGCGTTCATACATACAGACAGACGGACGGACAGACGGACAGACAGACGGACAGACGGGCAGACGGGCAGACAGACGATCGACTCGGCGGGGAGTAGGAGGACCTACAGCTAAAATTTCAGGTCTCTCGCTCTTATAGGTTCTGAGATCCTTGCGTTCATACATACGGACGGACGGACGGACAGACGGACAGACAGACGGACATGGCTAGATCGACTCGGCTGTTGATGCTGATCAAGAATATATATACTTTATGGGGTCGGAGATGCTTCCTTCTGCCTGTTACATACATTTGCACAAATACATTATACCCTTTTTACCCATTTTCAATAGGTGCGGGGTATAAAAAGGAAAAATGATTTTGGCAGCAAGCATTAACTTATTATATTAGAAATTCCCGCCGGCTAACTATGCATATGTATATATATATATATATATATTGAATAAATGCGACTGGGCTGATCCCATCTGGGCAACAGTCGAGTCGGAGCTGTTCTGTCTATCGGTCAATGCACTAATTTGTATGTTATTGTTTTTGTTTTTGCTAGATTTGTGCTTGAATGTAATAATAATTTCGACTTGTAGTACCTGCACTCGCTGAGAGCGGCGCATGTCTTAGATAAACCGCAGAGCAGGGGAATGCGGTTATCACAAGGCGGGCCGATTAGAAAATATCAGTAATAGCCGCGTTACGGCCGTATAAATATGAATCGCATCGCGGCCAACGGCCACAATTGGCCATGGCATTAGAAAAAGTCCGGTTGCTGCTCCTCCTGCTCCTCGGACTGAGCCGCGGTGTGATCGCCTACAGCGGGGACGAGCTGCTCACCTGGCTGCAGCACAGCAATCTTGGCTATCAGGTGCTGCAGCAGGCGCCCAACACCAGCAGCCAGCAGCCGGCGGAGCTGCTCTGCGCCGGCCAGGTGGCCCTCCTGCTCCAGGCGGCGGATGCGCACGTCCTGCCCGCGCTGCAAGGTAAGCCAGACGAATAACAAAGACTCCGTTTTTGATCTGAGCCAATTGCTGCTCTTAGTGCTGGATGCGTGGGGCAAGCTGCCGCATGGCCTGCTCTATGGCCACTTTAGCGATCTGGGCAACTACGAGTCCTGTCTGGGTCTCAGTCTGGCCATGCCCACTGCTGCTGCTGCTGTAATTGAGACCAAATACTGCCTGGCGCACATACAGTTCGAGGGTCTGTTGCCGCAGACTCTGGACAGGATCAACATCAATATAGGCGCCTGTGTGCCGGCCACCTGCAGCGCCGCACAACTAAATCGCTGGCTAAACAACTATCTTCGGTTGCTCTTCGAGGATGCAGTTGCTCCGGAGGCCCAGCTGGTCCAGGAGGCCAACTGCGCCCTCGCCGCCAGGCAGCCCCTGGCCCCGCTCGACTGGTTTGCCGTGTAAGTCAAATCGACCCAATATAATGAATATATATAATACATGGGGATTCGCCTAATCTTCACAGAGGTCTGCTCATCTTTCTGGCCGTGCTGGTGATTCTGTGCACCCTCTTGGACTACATCAACGGTGAGTCGATTTCGCATTAGACTGTTGCATAAGCTCGACACTGATAAGATTCAGCTGATAGAGCTGGCCTATCAAGGAATTATTGACGTATATTTGTAGACGGGAACTACCTACAACTAAATAATCTGAAGGAGCTGAGCTCTCATAAAGTTGCATAAACGAAATGCTCCCGAACCAAATATTCTTTCAAGTACTCTCTCTCTCTCTCCCTCCTTCTCTCTCTTTCTCTTTCTCCATCTATATATCTCTCTCTCTCTATCTCTTTCTATCTCTCGCTATCTACCTATCTTCTTCCAGCTATATGTTCTCAATGTTCCATTCTTTCTCGCTCTATCTTTCAGTTGAACTAAGTTTTTACAGCCCCGCCTATAAATACCCTGTAGAAAGTGAACAGTTAAAAAAGGGTATATTGGTTTTGTGTAAATGTATCTAACAGACAGAAAGAGGCATGTTCGACCCCATTAGGTGTATATATTCCTGATCAGCACGAAAAGCTGAGTCGATAAATATTAAAAGAAAAAAAATTATATATCGATTCTTATCGATATTGCATTTTCACAATATCGAGATATCGTGAAACACATTTTTAACTCGATCCAGCGTGTTCTGATATCTGCTTGATATCTTCTCCTTTTTACAATATCGATAAAAATCGATAGATATAAGTATTTAGCTCTTGTAGTCACAGACATGACTGGCTCGACTCAGCTTTTCTATCGATAACAAATCGATTTAGAAACATGCTTTTTAAGCATAAATATTATTAAGCTCAAGATACACGAAATGAGCTTAAGTATAGGCTCTCGTATGATATATACAGATTATACACAGCGAGGGGCGGCATGTTTTTGGGTCTGAATGTATAAAAGGATGACTTTGAATGTTTAAAATGATGACAGAATTTATGTAAAGGTAGCTGGGCGCAAGGCTTAGGGTATTTGTTAGTCGTGCACTTTCATCATTCCTTAACCTTCCATCCCACTCTTAGCATACTTTAGACCCATTAAAAGATGAGTACAATTTTGTATATTGCTGCTGTGTAAATCTATGTAAGAGCCAGAAGTAATCGATCCTTTGGTCCGATTATATATACGAGTAGATATCGGTAATTATAAGAGCTAGAGACTTTGCAAGCTTGGAGTGTGTGTATATGAGAAGAACAAGCATTTCGTTTTCTTTCTAACAGTATATTCATAATTTTCTTAGAATCGATAAAAATCGATATATCGAAAATTGTAGAAATAAGAAATTCGAAATGAAGAAGACCTTTGCCCGTTCCGTATAATTGTTCTTGGTTAACTCACGAATGTCTGGTCGTATCCTTGATATCATTTAACTTGTTTTTTTTTTCTTTCTTATATGATATATGCGTCATTTTCTTAAAATCGATAAAAATCGATGCATCGAAAAGTGTAGAGTTAACAAATTCGATATATTTTCGAATAGATGAAGAAGACCTTTGTCCGTTCCGCACAATTTTTCTTGGTTTACTCATGAATGTAAGGTCATATCCTTGATATCATTTAACTTGATTTATATATGCGTCATTTTCCTAAAATCGATTAAAATCGATATATCGAAAACTGTAGAAATAGGAAATTCGATAAATGAAGAAGACCTTTGCCCGTTCCGCATACTTTTGCTTGGCTAACTCACGAATGTCTGGTCGTATTCTTGATATCATTTAACTTGTTTTTTTTTCTTTCTTATATAATATATGCGTCATTTTCTTAAAATCGATAAAAATCGATACATCGAAAAGTGTGGAGTTAACAAATTCGATATATTTTCGAATAGATGAAGAAGACCTTTGTCCGTTCCGCACAATTTTTCTTGGTTTACTCATGAATGTAAGGTCATATCCTTGATATCATTTAACTTGATTTATATATGCGTCATTTTCCTAAAATCGATTAAAATCGATATATCGAAAACTGTAGAAATAGGAAATTCGATAAATGAAGAAGACCTTTGCCCGTTCCGCATACTTTTGCTTGGCTAACTCACGAATGTCTGGTCGTATTCTTGATATCATTTAACTTGTTTTTTTTTCTTTCTTATATGATATATGCGTCATTTTCTTAAAATCGATAAAAATCGATACATCGAAAAGTGTGGAGTTAACAAATTCGATATATTTTCGAAAAGATGAAGAAGACCTTTGTCCGTTCCGCACAATTTTTCTTGGTTTACTCATGAATGTAAGGTCATATCCTTGATATCATTTAACTTGATTTATATATGCGTCATTTTCCTAAAATCGATTAAAATCGATATATCGAAAACTGTAGAAATAGGAAATTCGATAAATGAAGAAGACCTTTGCCCGTTCCGCATACTTTTGCTTGGTTAACTCACGAATGTCTGGTCGTATTCTTGATATCATTTAACTTGTTTTTTTTTCTTTCTTATATGATATATGCGTCATTTTCTTAAAATCGATAAAAATCGATACATCGAAAAGTGTGGAGTTAACAAATTCGATATATTTTCGAATAGATGAAGAAGACCTTTGTCCGCTCCGCACAATTTTTCTTGGTTTACTCATGAATGTAAGGTCATATCCTTGATATCATTTAACTTGATTTATATATGCGTCATTTTCCTAAAATCGATTAAAATCGATATATCGAAAACTGTAGAAATAGGAAATTCGATAAATGAAGAAGACCTTTGCCCGTTCCGCATACTTTTGCTTGGTTAACTCACGAATGTCTGGTCGTATTCTTGATATCATTTAACTTGTTTTTTTTTCTTTCTTATATGATATATGCGTCATTTTCTTAAAATCGATAAAAATCGATACATCGAAAAGTGTGGAGTTAACAAATTCGATATATTTTCGAAAAGATGAAGAAGACCTTTGTCCGTTCCGCACAATTTTTCTTGGTTTACTCATGAATTTAAGGTCATATCCTTGATATCATTTAACTTGATTTATATATGCGTAATTTTCCTAAAATCGATATAAATCGATATATCGAAAACTGTAGATATAAGAAATTCGATAAATGAAGAAGACCTATGCCCGTTCCGGATAATTTTTCTTAGTTAACTCATGTTTGTCTGATCATATCGTTGATATCATTAATCTTGATTTATTTGCATTCAAGTCTTCAGCTTTTTACTGCAAGTGGAAGATATTTGAGTAGAAATCGTTTTCTAACTCAGCTAAACCCAGCGAGAGGCTGCCTAAACTTGGTATGTGAGTTCTTAGGGAAAATAATAAAATTTCTGGGGAAATGCTAATATTCCGATTCTTATCTAGAAAGCTTTTTTATTAGGAAATGCTAATCATCGCAATTCTTATATAGCTCCGCAGCAAATGTTGGGCGTCTTTTCGCTGCGCCAGAATCTGCGGCAATTGTTTCAAATTTCCAGGACGACAACGACGATACCCTGCCTGCACGGCATACGCTGTCTGACCATCATTTGGATCATCTATGGCCATGATTATATGTTCATGCTGCTGGCGCCCAACGTGAACACATACGAGGTGGTCGCCTGGGCCCAGACACCCTACTCGATGCTCCTCCAGAGCGGCAGCATATCGGTCGACACCTTCTTTCTGCTCAGCGGCATGCTGCTCGTGATGGCCACCCTGCGCGAACTGGATCGGTAAGATTCAGCCCCCCCCCCCCCCCTCCCCCTCCAAATCGTGTGCTTCCCCCAGCCTCTTGTTTGTTTGCTTTGACAGTCAATCGGGACGCCTCAATGTGCCGCTAATGTATCTGCATCGGATTGTGCGCCTGACGCCCGTCCTGGCCGTGGCTGTGCTCCTCTTCATGACCCTCTATCCCCGCCTCGATAGCGGCCCCCTCTGGCAGCAGTTCACCAGCTCCTATCAATTGTGCACCGACACCTGGTGGGCCACGCTCCTCTACGTCCAGAACTATGCCGCAGCCGGACGCATGGTAAGCAATAGCCTTAATCCACTATGCTTAAGAAATGTTACATTTTCACAACTTCACATATTGCTGTTCCATTGGCAAATGTTGGTTGTCGGTTACATGTGAGTAACATATGCCCACTTATTTGTGCCTTGTTTATGAGCTGAAACTTCCATTAAGATCGGACTTTAAAGACCGAAGCTAATCAAGACTGCATATACCATATATGGAGTGGGGGTAAGAGAATAAGAAGAAGCACAACCGTTACAAAAAATTTCGCTCTTGTGTATAATGGAGCTTCTTCCTATGTATTTAAAGAAGAAGGAAGCATTCTAGGTTGGGCTCAGGGCATCTTCTAGTCGGGCAAGCCCGAGTAGCGCACTCTAGACTGTCAATATATATCTATAGATAATATAGATTGATCTAACCAATTGTTGTTTCTCTATGTTGGCCAGTGCCTGGGCCACTCCTGGTACTTGGCCGTGGACATGCAGCTGTTTCTGTTGTCGCCGCTGCTGCTGTGGCCCCTCTGGCGCTGGCGTCGTCGGGCCGCTGCCGGGATTGTGGTGCTGGTGGTGCTGCTCTTTGGCTGCGTCTTCTGCATCATAATGCTGAACGAGCTGAGCGTGTTCCAGCGTGACGGGTGAGTGGGCAACAGAATACTTCTGTCCTGGCCAGTCTTAAGCTCTGCTCTGCAGGAATCTTGGCGGCGACAGCGTGGATATGCGCATGATCTATTATACGACTCACGCCCGTGCCACGCCCTGGCTAATTGGCCTGCTCTTTGGCTATTTTCTGCACGGCGAGCGGGGCAAGCGGCGTCGCCTCGCCGGCTGGCTGATGCAGCTGCTCTGGCTGCTGGCGCTGCTGCTGCTCGTCGCCGTCATCTGGAGCGTCTATCCGTATACCCAGCCGGGCGTCGCCCCGATGACGCCGCTGGCGGGCGCCTTCTATCTGTGCTGCAGCCGCATTGCCTGGCCCCTGGCCCTCTGCTGGCTGATATGGGCGTGCCAGAGTGGGCGCGGCGGCGTGGTCAATACGCTGCTCAGCTGGTGCCTCTGGCAGCCGATCTCGAAGCTCTCCTATTGCCTCTACATCTGGCATCTGCTCGTCGAGATGCTCAACACGGGCCGGCTCAAGAGTAGCCAGCATTTCTCCAACTATGATGCGGTAAGTTTCTCTTCAGCTCATCTCTTCCGCCTCCCTCACTCCCTCTCTCTCTCTCTCTCTCGCTCTCTCGCTCAGGTGCTGCACTTCTGGTCGGACTTTGGCATCACGCTCCTCGTCTCGCTGGCCATGTATGTCTGCGTGGAGGCGCCGCTTGTGCGTCTCGAGCTTCATTTGCTGCGACGACCGCGACAAGCAGCTGCCCATCCGGCCACGCCCACTGTTTCCATGGCCGTTATCATGACGCCCTCGAGCGTGTCACAGCAAAATCTAGTCGAAGCCTAAACGCAAGTATTCCAATTATATGCCAACGATAGCACCCGAAACCCGAAACATCTACCTGTAGTTTTTGTTGATAGACACACATACATATATACATAGATATATATACATATATATATATATATATGTATGTATGTATATGTTTTTTGTTTTGTAATAAACTATTTGAGAGTCTAGAAATGCAATTCTCGCAGTTTTTGCAAAACAACGAGAAACTTGTTCAAATCTAAACGGCATTTTTATGCGGCATATTTTTGTGGTCCAAACTTAATTTCAAAGCTCATTTATTTTTGTATACTCTGTTCAGTTAGGGAAAAGCAGTATATCGGTTTCAAACCGATTTGTGACTTTTTAAAAAAGAAAGTAAATATGATGATTCCACATTTTTTGAAGTCCCTTAAAATTTGGTAAAAGCCTTAGCTGTTCTAGCAGGAATACTATGTATTGTAATTTTCTTTTTTGTAATTTGTTGTAAGTGTATTTTCTAGTCGTGCACACCTTTTGCTCTGTGCATAACATTACAAACTGTTATTGTTATTGTTTTTGTTTTTGTTTTTTTTTCTTCCAATGTGTAAGCTTAAAGGTAGTTAAACGCATTTCTGGGTTAAAAGTCCATTAGCGACTCGCACGCAACACTCGACGAATTTTCAATTTTTTTACACTTGTTGTCTGACGTGAAAATGAAAAGAAAAAAAAAAAAGAGAAAAAAACAGAGAAGAAGAAAAAAACACAAACGGCCTGCTGCCATTTTTCGCAAGTCACTTTTCACATGGTTGCCAGACTCGCCAGATTCCGGACCAGATTCGCTCTCTTTCTTTTTGCCCCACCCCACCAATTTGCCCCCCTCGCGCGCGCTCACTCCTTTTCTTCTTCTCTTTTGCTAATCGCTCGACTTTCGATTTCCGTTAGTCTGCTTATGTAAACGCTGCGGCCAAAGCGTTTTCCTTTGGCTTTGTTTATTCGTAGTTAATTAGTTTCCTTTTCATTTGTTTTTAAGGCTGCAAGCTGTCTGAAATTTGCCTTCCACATACAAATACATAAGTATATATGTATGTATGTGTGCGTGTATTTGTGTGTGCTTATAATGCCTTGTTAATTGCATGTTACGAGCCACTTGAAGTCGTACAAATTTACAAATTACCGTTGAATGCTTTTCAATCAAATCTATTTCGCATTCGCATTCGCCTTTTGCATTCGCATTCACATTCGAACTTACATTCGAACTCGAATTCGAAGTCAAGTAGTTTGCATTGCGCCGCAGCCAGTAACTCAGCTGTGTAAACAATCGCCCAAAAAAAAGCCAAGATCTTTTGGCACTGTGCCAAATATACTTATGTATCTATGTATATATATATGTATATGTATGCATATATGCATGGTTATATATATGAACTATGTGTGTATGCATATTTATGTACGACTAGTGTGCACATAACTAAAAGTAAAGGCAGTTGATTGCTAAGCAAATGCATAAACATAACCTGTACGATTAAGTGTGCGCGTCATTGGACCAGTATGCGACTGCGCGCATACCCTGTAAAGCGTAACCAGCATTAATTAACATGGGTTTGATTTGTATTTCATTAAACGTACGCAATTGTCATTATATATACACAAATTATTATTAAATTATTTATGTTACATGAGAGGAAATCGACCAGAAAGGGCAATCGATTTTCAGAACCGTTTGGCATATTATTTTATTATTCGGAAGCAACTTGAATTGAGTCAATGCAAAAGAGCATTTAAGATATCGAATATCATGGTTTGAATCAATATTTATTTTTTTTTTTCCATTAACCAAACTTTTTTCTTCAAAAAAATATTATAAAAATATTTAAAAAAATATTTGACAATATTTATTTCTTTTCAAAAGGTATTCTGCTTATAAATAAAAATACAATAAAAATAAATAATTTAAATAAGCAACAAGCTTACTAAAAGCTAGCTATAGATATACCCCAATATGTGTTACTTGCAGACACGCCAGCGGCTCGTACCCCAGTGCACATATCGTTACAGGGTATTTAAATTAAAACTAAATGCAACAAGTCGAGCTTAAATAATAGTTACACGAAAATTTGATGCATGTGTATCATTATAATCAATGTGCGCACAGTGGTAACGCACAGCGATCATTTTCATACCTTGAACCCATGGAAAATGGCGGAAAATTAGTGTAAAATGTTGATGTGAAAATGAATATGGCAGGCTGAAAAAGGGAGAAAAGGGATATTAGCTATAGCCTAAGTATAAAGTAGGACTCTATTTGGCATGTGTTTATATTGTCGATATTTCAACATTGCCATAAATTCGATAAATATCGATTTTTAAAAAGGTTGGAGCAGGTTAAATAAACAAGCAGATATTGCTGATGGTAGAGATGGAGAATTAGGCATCTATATTTGACAGTCATTTTATTTATATTAAGATTTTTTCTTGTTGTATAACTTCTCGAGATTCTTCAGCATAGAAAAATGTTTTCTTTTGGAGGCATGGCTCCGAACACTTTGTAAAGACCAAGCTATAAGCCCAGAAGGTATTAAACAGGTTAAGATAGTTTTCTAATCTTGTGGTGTCTAAGGAGAGAGAGAGAGAGAGAGAAAGGGAGAGTGCTAGAGAGAGAGAGAGAAAGGGAGAGGGAGAGTGAAAAAGATAGATAGAGAGAGAGAGAAAAATATGGCTAGAGTGAGAGAGAGAGAGTGAAAGAGAATTGAAGAGAAATAAAGAGAGAGTGAGAGAGACAAAGAGAGAAAAAGATAGCAAGAAAATAAAATTAAAGAGATAGAGATAGAAAGAAAGAGAGAGAGACAGAGAGAGAGAGAAAAAAAAAGAAAGTGTGAGATACAGAGAGATAGAGAAAGAGAAAAAAAGAGAGAGAGAGAAAAAAAGAGAGAAAGAGATAGATAGAGAGAGAGAGAGAGAGAGAGAGAGAGAGAGAGAGAGAGAGAGAGAGGGAGATAGAGAGAGAGTGAAAAAGAAAGAAAAGGAAAGAAAGAGAAAGAGAAAAAAGAGAGAAAGAGAGATAAAGAGAAAGATACAGAGAGATAGAGAAAGATAGAGAGAGAGAGAGGAAGGCAGTTGGAATGTTTGTTGTGGCAGCTCGCCGCTAGTTACAGGGTAACTATCAGTCGGAACTGGAGCTGGCTAACTGGCTGGGATTGTGCCGTTACCGTTAGCTAACAATATACATATGTGACCGACCCACTGTGCTGGGGTCGCAAGCTGCACGAATTATTGAGTGCCGCAAAAAGTAGTGCAAAAGTAATTGTTGCGACGCACAGAACCCGTTGATAGCCGTCGCCGTCGCCGTCGCCGTCGCCGTCAACGTCGCCAGAGACAAAGTGGCTGACAGTGCGCCCGAGTTGGCTGGTGTTAACCCGTCTAACTCGTTGGTTTTGGCCACTTAATCCGCAACGCCCAGGCGCGTGTCGGCCGAGTCAAGGCAGCCAACTGGCGGCGCAGGCAACGGCCAGTTCTGATTGGAACGCCACACAGCGCGGTACACCGAGCGCTCCACTTCGAGTTCCAAGCGCCACAATCTCGACAGGATGCGGTCCGCATGTTGCAACATCCTGCTGCTGCTCGCATTGGCGACGGCGGCGACGACGACGACGACGACGACGGGCGGGCAGCAGCTGGAGCGCGTCAAGCGCGCCACGGTCACCCTGGACTTTGGCCTGCTGCTGCGCAATCTGCTGCAGAAGAGCGCCGACTTGTCTAACGTCAAGGCGAACATTACGCGCAACATAGTTGCCGCCAAGACGACGCGCCGACCTCCGATGAGGACGACCGCAAGCCCCACCACAGCGGCGCCACCACCACCGCCGCCACCGCCGCCACCACCGCCGCCGCGACGCAGGCCTCGTCCGTTTTATGGACCCAGCTGGTGGCCACGCCCCTATGACTACTATCCGCATCAGCCCTTCGACTATGACTATGACGTGGCACCGCCGCCGCCGCCAGCGCCGACAACAGCAGCGCCTCCACCTCCGCCGCCGCCGCCGCCGCAAAAACCTCCACCGCCAGCTGCCCCCGTGCCCAGACGCGTGCGTCCAGCCCCGCATCCTTTGGGCTACAATTACTATGACTACGACTATGACTATGATGCACCAGTCTTTACACGTCCACGCCCGCGACCACGCCCACAGCCGCAGCCGCAGCCCGCACCACCGCCGCCGCCGCCGCCGCAGCCAGCACCAACAGCGCCGCCATCGCCGCCGCCGCCGCGTCGTCCACGTCCGCATGCGCTGGCGCCTGCCCAGCTGGCCGATCAGCTGATCTATCAGTACGCACAACCTGCCGGTAAAATACGCAAACTATTAACTAATTGTCGTACAATTGGATTCTCTCCAACACTTTGCAGGTATCTACTCTAAGCCCCGATCCTTCAAAGACGCCGTCGCTGCGGCTGCGGCTGCGGCTGAGGATGAGGCTGGGACTGGGGCTGGGGCTGGGGCTGAGGCTGGGCCAGGCGATGCGAATGCCGAGACGGCAACAATTGATGATAACAGCAGTTCCATAAACACCGATGACAACGATCCAAGTGATGAGGCTGAACCGACGAGCAATCCAGATCCAAATCCAATCCCCAACCCAAATCCGAATCCGAATCCGAATCCCAGCCAATTTCTGGTCAACTATCCGGACGAAACGCTGAACGTTAGACTGACGCATGATTCCCAGCAGCCCGCCAAATTCAATCCGTATGATCTGTCCACTGGCGGAGCCAACAGTCTGGGCTTCAATCATTTCAACAGCTTCAACAGCTACCCAACATCCTCCTCCACCTCGCCAGGGTTGCCACAGCCGAGTTACTATTTGCAGTAAGAAATTTAATGTGTAGTTTTTTTTTCCTCCATTTTTTTTTTTATTTTTTTTCTCTCAATCATTCACAATTTGCTACTTTTGTATATACAATTAGCATTACAAATATATATATATGTATATATATACAATAAATATGTCGTAGTTTCTAAGTCATACTTATTTTTTGCTGGTCCCTTACACAATACTTGGATGAGTTAGCTCGGTATTCCTTATTAGCTGGTTGCCAAAAAAGCTACATATCGCGTAGTTTCCGTAATATCCGTAGTATACGTAGTTTGCGTAGTATCCGTAGTATCCATAGTACTCGTACTTTCCGTAATATCCGTAGTATACGTAGTTTCCGTAATATCCGTAGTATCCGTAGTATCTGTAGAATCCGTAGTATCTGTAGTATTTGTAGTATTCGTACTTTCCGTTATACCCGTAGTATACGTAGTTTGCGTAGTATCCGTAGTATCCATAGTACTCGTACTTTCCGTAATATCCGTAGTATACGTAGTTTCCGTAGTTTCCGTAATATCCGTAGTATCTGTAGTATTCGTAGATTCCGTAGTTTCCTTAGTATCCGTAGTATACTTAGTATCCGTAGTATCCATTGTATCCATTGTATCTGTAGGATCCGTAGTATCTGTAGGCTTCTTAGTATCCGTAGTTTCCGTAGTTTGCGTAGTATCCGTAGTATCCTTAACATCCGTATATACGGATGATATCCTACCCGTGTGATATCCGTAGTATTAGTATCTAGTATCCGTAGTTTCAGTACTATCGGTAGTATCCGTGGTATCCGGGTGTGCCTTATGGTCAAACATCTGAACTCTTTCGTTCAGTTTCCAATTGCTTAGGTCGCAAGGTCTTTGGCATATTAAATTAGCATTGAAAGTACTGTATCTATATAGAAAGAAAAAGTTTCTAAGCCCTATATCTCTCTTATTTTTTCTGGTCCGCCATGGTCACTTTACTCAACACTTGCATGAGTAAGCTCTGCATTCTTTATTAACTAGTTCCAAGATAAGTTACATTTCGCGTATGAGTTTTCTATAGAATATAAGTACCATGTGCTCCAGTACCCATGCATCCTCCATGGTCACTTTAACAATAAACAAGTGGAGAGGTCTTTGGTATATGAAAATGAGCAATTAACGTGCAATATATAATATGTAATATATATTTCGCAATTTCTACGCCCTATATTTTTCTGTTTTTGTTGGTCCTCCAAAATCGAAACTTTTTCTTATGTAGAGCTTTGAAAACATATTAAAAGCAAATCGAAGAAAATCTAAAAACAAGAATAACGTGGCCAGATATAGATGCCAAATTGATCTGGAGGCCAAGCCATGAACAAGAAGCCCAGCTTTATGAAAATTGGTTGAGTTTTGACCGAGGCCCCGGCCTTGCCCCTGGCTGCTTCTTAGCTCTTACGGTTTGGGCTGTGCTTTGATCACCAATCAGTCAGTCAATAAGTCAGTCAGTCAATCATTCAGTCAGTCAATCATTCAGTCAGTCAGTCAGTCAGTCAGTCAGTCAGTCAGTCAATCATTCAGTCAGTCAGTCAATCAATCAGTCAGTCAGTCAATCAGTCAATCATTAAGTATGTCAGTCAATAAGTCTGTCAGTCAGTCAATCATTCATTCAGTTAGTCAGTCAATCATTCAGTCAGTCAGTCAGTCAATCATTGAGTCAGTCAGTCATTCAGTCAGTCAATCAGTCGGACAATCAGTCAGTCAATCAGTCAGTCAGTCAGTCAATCATTCATTCAGTTTGTCAGTCAATCATTCAGTCAGTTTGCCAGTCAGTCGGTAAATCAGTCAGTCAGTCAGTCAGTCAGTCAGTCAGTCAGTCAGTCATTCATTCAGTCAATCAGTCGGTCAATCAGTCAGTCAATCAGTCAGTCAGTCAAAACAACCCGTTCTATAGAGATATTTATATTATACCCTAGTTTCTAATACAAGCTGTATATATATAATATTTGTCCTCTAGGCCACAAACATCCTCCATGGTCACTTTGGCAACAACTTCACGAACGAGTGCATTTTGTATGATTTGTTTATCAGTTGAAAAACCAGTTCATTTTGATTTTGAAACTGGGATTTAAATCAGACCTAAAAAAACAATCTCTTTCGAAATATCCGCATGTCCTCCAATTGCTCGCAGCCGGCCAAACCAGTTGATTTTAATATAAGTATAAAAATTGATATTGAAATTGGAAAAAGCCAGAAATTAATTGAATTTGAATTTGAGCCGAATTGTTGGCCAACCAAGCCAATTGCAATGCCAGATAATCAGATTACGTCCTCCAGGGTCACTTTGTTATTAACAATTACTTTTGCCAGCTGAAAAGATTTTTTTTCTGTCTTTCAAATGAAAAGCATTTCAATCATATTTTGAATATCCTAACAATTTTATTTTATTTTTTTTAGTTTTCATTTATTTTTTTTTGTTTTTTTTAATATAATATTCTCAAGAAATATCATTTAATAAGTTATTAACACATAAAACAAATTAAGAGTAGTATTTGAATAAAAAATTGTTTCATTATATTATTAACATTCTTTAGTTTGGTTTTGGTTTCTTTTTACTTCTTGTTGAGTTGTCGATCCATTGAAGTATATATATATATATATATACTATACATATATATATATATTTGCTGTATATATTTGTTATCTTTAAGGTTTCTTTCTTTTTATCAAATATTATTATGTATAATAGTTGTGTGTGTTTTGGTTTTTTACCTCAATCATTTTTGGATTTTTAATTCTTTGTTTTTTGTTTTCGATAAATAAGTTGGGAATATCTTAAAATTTTGATGCTTTTATTAGTTAAAGTTGTAAAGTTGCTAAGTATGTATATATACATAAAAATAATTCAAACTGTATGTATGTATGCGTTTGTATATATCTATATCATATATATATTCATATATGTATATCATAATGTATAATGTGTACACTTTAAATGCTATAAATATATTTACAATAATCATAATATATATAATATTCGAATAAATCATATGCAGAAATTCAGTCTTATTAAATAAATAAAAACTTAGGTACATCATATATAAGTGTGTGTGCGAGTATTTAGCTGGGTAACTGAAACAATCAATCAACCAATCAATCAAACAATCAATCAATCAATCAATCAAATCTATGTGTTCTGTTCTGTTTGAGCTCTGTAGGTTAAGGTTCAGTTTCGTCGATCAATCATTCGATCAATTAGCTGTGGCCAATTCTATTTTGATGCTCGCATCAATCAATAGTAACCACATTATATGATCAATCAATCAATGAATCATGCAATCAAACAAATATATTTTTGGTCTATTTTTTACCAATCGATCATTTAATCAATCAGCTGTGGCCAATTCTATTTTGCTATTCGCATCAATCGACGGATTAATCAGATGTGTCTTCATTCAACAATGGCTTGTCTTGGATATACCTAGGTAGTATCCAGATCAGCCTCTCGTTAAGTACATCAATCATTTCATCATCAAATGTGCTTTTATGTTTTTGTTTGTTTTTGGTAGTTACCACATTATGTGATTAATCAATCAATAAATCATGCAATCAAACAAATATATATTTGATCTATTGCTAACCGATCAATCAATCCATCAACTGTAGCCTGTTCTAGTTTAGTATTAAGGATTGATTGTAGTTCCGAAATTGAATTAATCGATTAATCAGCTATGTTCGCTTGCTCGATTACATCAATTGTTTAGTTTGCATGTGTCTTACTTTCTTAGTACCTCCCAAATCAATCAATCAATCAGATGTGACCCAATCTATTTCATCTATTGCTTGGTATTTGGTGACTACTTTAGTAACATTTCGTTTTCTCGCTTTTCAGTGGTTCGTAAACAGTTCGATAGCAGTGGTTCATTAGAACTAGTTCGCTTGGTTCAGTTAAGTAGAGTGAATTCAAAGTGCATCGAATGAACATGTTCCCCTTTTTAAAACTGTTAATTAAAGTTGATTTATTTGTAGAGTTTGTTTCGAAAGAACAAAAGAAAAAAATGCTCAAGTTTATCAACGGAAGCATTCGGTTTTTTTCGTTTGTTTTGTTTTTTTTTTTTTTTTCAATTTACGAAAAATGTTAGTATAGTATTTTATTCGCATTTCGAATTGGAACTATAGAAAATCGATGATATATAAATATATATTCATATGTCATATTTGCTCTTGTTGTTGTCAGTTTTGGTGGTACACTAAAAGAACCGAATGGCGGAAGAACAAACTCTTCTTGTTATTAGTAGTTGGGCTGTTGTTCATCTAGTATAAGTATATTTAGATACCCTGGAGATATCTCCAGATCAATTCTGTGTGGTTTTTTTAGGATATGTTTTTAGCTTTAGCTTTGTTCTGCGTGTTGCTTTAGTCACTTGTATATTTAAATCTATGTCGTGGTTTATCAAACTAAACAACAACAAAATATACATAAGTATAATCAAAGAGTTAGTTCCGGAATTCGCCAAGAACCTAAGCATGGTGCATCAAATGGTTCCATTAATTGATGGAACCGTTTTAGGATTAGAGTATTTGTGCATTTGGCACTTAAATTGAATGGGTTGTACGAAATGAACAATGGAAATCGATAAATAAAAGAAAAAAAATTGTTAAATACTAGGAATAAATACGGGTATTTTTTTTTTTATGTACATTTAGATTGAAGAAGGATTTCTTTTTTTTGGTATTTTTTCTTGTTTTTTTGTTTTTTTTTTTTAAGTATATTACTTCGAATTTGATTTAGCTTTCTAAATACACAATAATAATCATAATAATCATGACAATAATGATATTTGTGTTAAGTTGAAATACAAGTGCTTTTTATGCTTGTCGGGTATTTAACGGGGCCAAACAACTTTCCTATTGGAATATACATATGTAACGCTTCTTAAAACATACTTAAAGGTAATAAATATATATATATAGTATATCGTTTTTTGTTTTTGTTTTTTTTTTTTTCATATATTCTTGCTTGTAAATATATATGTATTTGTTAGTTAGGCTTTGGTGCCTAAATATTGTTGGTATTTGTTCGGTTTGGTTTGTTAGTTTCAAATCTTTGGTATTTGTTAGTATTTTCCTAGTATGTTTCATTAGTTGTGGCGAATCACGTAGCACAAATCGTGTGCTTTTTGGTATCTTTCATATTTCATATTTCATATTTGTATGTATTTGTTTTCTTTATTTTGCGAGCGCAACTCAAGAAATTTTTTTGCAGCTTTAGTTACCTTTTTAGAGTCTCTTTGTGTCTGTGTGTGTGTGTGTGTGTGTGTGTATGTACAGGTAGTTGGAAGTTAAAAAAATGTAAATTAATTAAGTATTAAGTATTTGCTTTTAAATTGTATATACTCATAATATAGTTAAAAATGTTTGCTTGCCTCTTGCTTGTAGTATATAAAGTGGAAAAAGGTATGCATTGTATATAAATGTTGTTATTTTTTTTTAAATAGATATTTATATTCTTGTTGTTTTTTTTTTTTTTGTTTTTTTTTGGTATTATGCATAAGTATTTCATTTTGCTTTATGCCTTGTTGTGTATATATTTTATTTGTTATAAATGTTTGAATTTGAATAGATCGCTTGTTCGGTTAGTAAATATGGTAAATTTTATGGCATTTGTCGTAAAGATTTACTTTGGTTTTTCTTCTTTTTTTTTTGGTTTTTTTTTTTTTTTGCTTTTTGCTTTTTGCATAGTGTAAGTAAGGTTGATTATTAAATTACAACAAATACCGAATACCGCATAAAAATGAGTTTAGCGCGAGCCTCTAGAATAGTCGAAACAATAAACATTTTGAATATAAGTAAGTATTCGTAATACTTGTTATCGTATCGTATAATGCATATAGTAGCAATAACTGCAATGGCAATGTCAATAATCATAAATACAATATACATAGAATCGATAGAATGATAATATATATATATATATATATGTAGATATATATCTATATGCAGCAGAGATTAGTTGCCGTTTGTTTCCATTTGTTGTCTTTATACGAATGCCCGAAAAAAAATACGCTAAATATGCCCGAAAAGGCTGACGTTGCATTTCCAGGGCTTTCATACATACATATATAGCCTGCTTATAGGCGTGCGCGTACGTGCGTGTGCGTGTGCGTGTGCTTGCGTGCGTGCGTGCGTGCGTATTTGGTTGCATTTTCTTTTGTTGTTGTGTGTATATATATATACTGTACAGGGGGCGCACGCACGCGTGCGTGCATAGCTTGAACTAGTTAGTATTTACTAAAATATGGCAGCCCAAATAAATGGCCACCCTAATTATGCTCAACAATCTCAAAAATATGCAATTTGATTTTTTTTCTTTCTGTTTTCTCTTCTGCGTCCACTTCAGCGCTCAATTTCGACTGGCAAACCGTTAACCCGAAATTCGAAAATCAACAAAGAAACAACAAAAAAAAAAAAAAAATTAGCCCGAGTACCCAAAGCCAATATCGAGTTGCCAGTCGAATTTGAGTACAGTATTCACACGCTGGCGTGGTTCTACAACAATCTGAATCAATTTTAATTATATGTATGTATATTTGTGTATAAGTATATATATATACATACATACATAGGTATATGTATATGTATATGCATATGTATATATAGCAGATGCCGAGTTTGTTTGTATAAGTTCAAGAGTTGGAGATATCGATACAGTGGAGCCTCAATGGCACAAACAATAACTATTGAGGCTGCACTGTATGTAACTGTATAGTTATGTATATATGTATATATATTATATATAGATAATATCGTTAAACTTAATAAGTCTAATCATATTTACAGGTCTTGGTTGTCAGCTCTTTGCGCATTTGGTTAGGTTTGTTTCGATTTGTGGGTCGTTTAGGTTGTCGGATACGGTAAGTCGGCTATATATGTATATACCTGTTCATATATAAGTATATATACTTGTTTTGGTATATTAACGATTAGCATCTCATTGCTGAAACGAAAATAGTTGGAGCTCCTTAGTCATCCCACGTGGGGAACTGACCCTCGTCCACGAACATGCTGAACTGCCCGGTATACTGATGCTCCAGCATGCGGGCGCTGCCCGTCGCGCTCCGTGCATTGCCGGACTGCGACGGCACCGGGCCGGTTCTCGCAGCCGACGCAGCCGACGCAGCTGAAGCCGTGTCCGCATCCTTGCCGGACTTGCCGGCATTGGCCGCATTCTTGGCTGTCGAGCTCTTGCCGTAGCTATAACGTTGCTCTGCAAACGAAGGTTAGTTTTAGATGGTGTCCATAATCGAATGTGCGTACCGGTTTTTAAATCGAACCGGTTCCGATTCGAAGCTCCAATTCCCTCTTTACTATAACCGAAAATCGATAGATAGACCAAATAGATCCTATCTAATCGGAACTATATTTAAAACAACAAGTATTTAAACGCATCTTTTTTTCCGTTAGTCCACATCATTTGCAATGTGCTCCTGGTTGACTTCGGTGTCTATTGTCCGATCTTAGTTAAATTTTCAGGGCTTTAACTAACTATTTTATTTCTAGCATTTTATCCAAAAACTGAAAGACTGAGACTCTGCATACCACATTTGATATTCCTAGCTTATTATGCTAAATAAACATTGTTTTAAAATCGATATTTATCGATATCATTAAAAGCGGACTGATTTGAAAAGAAAGGTGAACTTGTACTGCGTATGAAGTTTCAAGTCTACAGTCCAATTTGTTGTCCCTAGCTCTTATCAGCTTTAAAATACGCTTTATAGGCATTTTTTTAAATTCGATATTTATCGATATCATAAGAGGGGGACAAAAAGGAGGAATAAACTTGTACTTCGTATGAAATTTAAAGTCTCCAGTCAAATTTGGGGTCTCTAGAGTCAATCAGATTTAAAATACGCGTAATAAATATTGTTTCAAAATCGATATTTATCGATATCATTAGAAGGGGAAAAATACCAGAAAAAGATAGATAAACTTGTACTGTGTATGAAATTTCAAGTCTTTAGTCAAATTTGTTGTCCCTAGCTCTTAATAGCTGCAAGTTTTGCTTAACAAACATAGTTTCCGAACCGATAATTATCGATATCATAAAAAGAGGACAGATTTAAATAAAGAAAAGATAAAAGATGAGATTTCAATTCTAAAGCTATTATAGTTCCCAAGTCGTTCGCTCAGACCAACAGACAGGCGGAAGAAAAGACGCAGCTTTATGGGCTTGGAGATGCCTTCTTCTGCACGTCACACACATTTGGACCAAAAATTAATCCCTAGTTCTTCGATCTGGTTCTTCCCCGGAATCTCTGGAATATGGAGGCGTCCACTTACTTGAGGGCTGCTTGATCTCCTTGCTGGCCCAGACGGGCTCATGCGTTTGGTTATACGATTGCTGGTCCCAGACGGCCTTGTCATCGACGTTTTTGCTCTGGAATGACAGCGGGGGGTAAGTGTCAATTGGGCCTTGAGTTGGATAATTGGAATTTGGCTACTCACGTAGTCCTTGTCCACGTGCAGCTCGAGCTCGTCGCTGGTCTGCTCGAGGCTGCTGTGCGTGATGCCGTAGTAGAAGTACATGATGAAGCCGAGGGACATCCAGACGGTGAACCTAATGAGGGTCAGTATGCTAAGCTTAAATATTAAATAAATGTTAACAGTTATTGCGATAGCCGGAATAAATGGAAGTCCAGGCGTTAAAAACGCGAGTGCATATCTGTGAAAGAACAAACATATAATTACAATTGGCCCTCGACGAACACAAAGCGCGAAACAAAGTAAGCTTCGAATTGCCGAAGACTACCAAATAAATATCCTTGCAGAAGATATTAATAGATATATTGTTTCTTTGACAAGTTAAGGCTATTTTTAAAAAATAAGAATGTGCTTCTTCTTTGCGCACACGATCAAATATTCCTTATCTCTGCGTCATATTCGACTGTTAACTCGATATACAACATAAATTTCATATATGTATCTAGCTCTTACAGTCTCTGAGCTACATCTTTATATCTATCGAAATTTATCGATTTTGGCTAAAAATATCCCACATGACAAATTTTGTGTGTGTTTCTGGTTCTTAAAATCTTTCCAATCAATCGAAAATCGAGATTTGATCGCCATTTATCGATAAACACTTAAAACATATAAGCATATAAATTTGCAGTCTCTACCTCTTACAATCGGTTAATCGATATATATCGATATTTGGCAGACAACATTTATCAAGATATTAAATAGCGTCTACAGTTTTTATGATCTAATAGATATGCCCATTAAAATCGATATTTATCGATTGGCAACTGTTTGCAGTTATCGAAAAAAAAAGCCACGCCACATTGAAACTTTTAAAAGCTTGCATAGTCTCTGTTTCCTTCACCTGATCAAGAGTTAAGACACATCGCATCGATATTTATCGATAGGCAAATGGTTGTAGTTATCGAAAAAAAGACTCCACATCACAATGAAACTTTTCAGTTAACATAATTTCTGTGACAATCACACGGACAGACGCCTGCTGCTGCGCCTGATCAAAAATGAAGACACATCAATTATGGGGCTACCCTCTGCAAGGTTATCGATAAGCAATTAAAATATTGGCTTTACCTATTCTGTGGTTGTCTCGATATAATCAATAATATCACAAATATGCCGATAAATAAAATGATATAAATGAAGATGGCCAGGCCGCCGGACCAACCGATGGCCGCGAACAAATCCAAGAAGAATATGAGACCGAACATGATTCCAACTAGTTTCGTGACATACATGCCTGTTGCGTGTATTCGAATTCGAGTTCGAATGCGTTTGTATATATATATATACATATATACATATTTTGGTTTAGTCGAATTTGTTCGTTAAGAATTTCGAAGTCGAGATGTCATCGGGAGCAAAACATGAAAATGAAATGAGAGAAAGCAAAAGAGCAACGAGAATATTGAATATTGAATTTCGATATCGAATACGAATTTCGAGTTACGACAATATCAGAAGAGAGAGAGAGAGTGGGAGAGTGGGAGAGTGGGAGAGGGAGAAAGGCACAGATAGAGTGAGAGAGAGAGGGGGAGAGAGGGAGAAAGAGGGAGAGAGAGAGAGAGAGAGAGAGAGAGAAAGAGAGAGGGAGAACATACCAGTTTCGGAGGTCGCCTGACCGGGATTTATCCATGGAAAGAAACCGGGGCACAGGTACGCATAGTCATGTATTTTGCGTGATATAAAATTAAGGCCCATCGTATCGAAGGCGGTGGCCTGACCGGTTGGTCCGGTTGGTGCACCATGGACGCTGCCGTAGAACTTGTTCTCGGAACGATCCGAGACAAGGAACTGATCGTCCCGTCCGCCCAAATAGCCCTCGGGACTGTCGTCAATGAATGAATCATCCGAATCGGACATGCCGCGCGTCACACGCTTTATGGTCAGCTTATTCGGCTCCAGCACCTCCGAGGGCCGGGCATGCGGATCTGTCGCAGTGCCCGGCGCCAGCGGCGTACGCAGCTGCGCCGGCAACAGCTCCACCAGCGACGTGCTGTGCGGCTGATAGCGCAGCACCAGGACGCAGGTGGACACCAAAGTGTAGGCCAGCAGTGTGCCGATCGACATCATCTCGACGAGTATGTCCAGGCGGACGGTCAGCGCCACCAAGGCGGCGGCCAGACCGCTGCCCAGCGTTGCCAGACCGGGCACATTTGTACGCTGCCACAGATGCGACAATTGCCTGCAATTGCAATTAACCGAATTGCGGATCAGGAACGCGACGTGTTTAGCTGACACCCGAACTCACCTGAATATCAAGCCGTCCTGGGCCATCGCATAGATGACGCGCGGCATCGGAAACATCGAGCCGAACATGGCCACCGAGAGGCCCGCCGTGGCCCCAATCGCCACCACGGCACGACACTTGGGCGCATTCACGTACGACCACATCTGCACCAGAGCTGCGCCCGTATTTATGTGGTCATACGGCACTGCAGGAGGGAAAGAGAGACAGGTGAGATTGAGACGACGACAATATTAGGAGAAGGTAAGCTTATCTTCGGCACGCCGAAGATTTAATACCCTTGTAGATGATTGGCTGCAGGTTTTGCAGATATGTGAGAATAATGAAGCTCGCCTAAGCTGAATTTGTTGGAAATATCTTGGAAAACAGAATATATTGCCAGACCAGAAGCTTCTTTTCGACAGATCTTTCCCATGATATATAGTCCGATGTTGATACGATTTTGCATATATCTAGAGAGAACTTATAAATGCCAAGTTTTGACCAGATATCTTGATGGCTGCAATATGATATAGTGTTCCGATCCGGACGGATTCGATATATGAAATGCCTGCATGTGTATTGCCTATGCAAAGTTTCAAGTCGATAGCTTTAAAACTGAGCGAATAGTTCGCATAGAAAGAGACAGACAGACGGACGGACAGAGGGAAAGACGAACTCGGCTGATCTAGAATATGTATAACTTATGGGATCGGAGATGTCTCCTTCTATGCGTTACACATTGCATGACAATATTATAATGCCCTCTACAAGGGTATAAGTATTCGCCAGATTTATATTTAATTTTGAACCGAACCAAAAACAGCCCACTCCAAAAACTGAACCGAAACATATTTAAAATGGTCTACAAAGAAATTCCTATACCCTAGACCTAGTAGAAATGGGTATATAGGGTATTATGGTAAGAGGAACGCTTGTTATCCAGATCGAAATAATGTTCTTCAGCATATCTCGAGGCTTATAAAAGCTAGAGATATCAAATTTAGTAGATAGCATCTTGTAAGATATAGACAAATTGGGAATATTTCACTTTTTGGATAGCTCTGTCCATTTCCACACAAATTGTAAATAACATTTAATACTTGGATAACATGTTCAAGCACAAGAAATTTCATAAAGATCGGACAATAGACGCCCAAGTTAAACGAGAAGCACTCGAATATTTATTTCTTTTACTTGGACAACTTTTTCGTTTATCAAGATATCTGAACTAGGTTAAGCTATGCTCTCCAGATATATGCAAAATCTAAACAAAATCGAATCACTTAAACCAAACTCTCCAGATATATGCAATATCCTTACCTTAATCGTGCATAGTATACTATAGAAAAGATCTCGCGAAAAGTAGTTTTTTTTGGATGACAAAATAATCTGTTTTCAAAGATATTTTTGCATGAAACTCAGCATTCAAGAGATATGTCTTCAACTATATAAAGGCCTTTCCCATATTATAATATATTCATATACATATTCAGGTTCAGTTTTCGTTCTAAGGCCAACAAATTCTGGCTCAGACTTTCGTGCGGGGTTAATATGTAAATGTAGGTCCAAGTTCGAATCGATTCCTTATATAGTAGATCTATTGTTTCCCATTTTCCCATTGTAATTAAATGATTAACAACTCACCGACTAATGTTAGCACTAGACTAACGCTCACGTAGGCAATGAGGACGACAATGAGGGATCCAACAATTGCCTTGGGTATGCTCTTCTGCGGATTGTGCGCCTCCTCGCCGGTGGTTGCGATAATATCGAAACCAATAAATGCATAGAAACAGGTCGCGGCGCCGGAGAACACCTGAAATATAGGGTATACATACCACATATATATATATATATATATCTGTGTGTGTGAGGGTATTCGATTCGGCACTTACCCCACTCCAGCCGTAGGGCAGAAAGCCCTGATGCTCCGACCACGTTTTCGTATCCACGTAGAAGAGCCCGGCGGCCATTACGAACACCCACGTGGCCAGATTGATGGCATTCAGGGTGTGATTAAAAATAACTGATTTGCTGGCGCCCATCGCCAAGACACTGGTCATGATGAGCGTTATGCCAAAGGCTATGAAGTCGGGTGGTTTGCCTGTTCGCAAAAAAAACAAAAAAAAAATGGGAGGAGAACATAAATGAGAAAAAGGCAACAGTTGGCTATAAATAGATAACTTTATTTGCGGCGAAAGTTTTCCGTATACACTTTGCACATCGCGTTTCCACTCATATTCCACCCTTGTGAAAACTCTAATTACCTCCATGAATGAAAATTTACATAGATTTTGGTTCGAATGAGAAACAAAATCATTTCACTTAACGAATTTCCGCGCATTTTTCGTACTTGTAGGTGAATTTGTTCGTATTATTATTTGTTTACAGTATTGGAAATATGCATGACGCTTGAAGGCCGCCAAAGCTCAAAAGCTCATTTTCCAGCCAAAGAAACTTGAATTTTACGAAAATTAATGAATGATGGTGTCAACCAATCCGCTTTAAAACTCATTACTTTGCTTTTCATCCCGTCAATTTTCATAAAGTTCTTTGAAAATGAGCTTAAAGCGGATTGGTTGACAAACATAAAGGTCATGATGCAATCGATTTCCACCAATTTTTCACGCTTGCGTGTGGAATTTTCAAAAAAGCCCATTCTGTTTGTTTACAGACAACACAAAAGGTAACTATCATGAAAGTATATTAAGTATACAAGCCTTAACCACCTGATCAGTGCGTTAATCATCAATCAGTCAGTCAATCAATCAGTCAGCCAATCAATCAAAAATTTAAAACAATTTCAGTTGAAACTTTTAACTCAAATCTAAAGTAACTGCGTTTCTTAACTGAAATTATTTCTGACTTTTTTCGCTGCATTTCTGTGTTTTCTCTTTGTTCGTTCGCCGTAGAGGGTTTTCACTGTACTTACCAAATATGGTGCCAATGGACTCGCTCATCGCAGTCGCAATGGCATTGCCCGTCAATGAATCAAAACTTGAGCTTAATGCACAGGCACAGGCACTTGTTCCTGTTTTTGGAGGAGACATATTAAGATAAATTTACTATAAAAGCGAAAGGTATTATTTACCTATTAGATATTCCAATATCATGTTCCAACCAATTATAAAAGCTACAAATTCTCCAACTGCCACATATGAATACATATAGGCCGAGCCGGATGTGTGTGGCACACGAACGCCAAATTCCGCATAGCAAGCGCCTGTAAAAATTGTTAATCCTTCTAATATTATATTGTCCTTACGTATAGTTTTGTATCAATTTGGGGCAATTTGGGGCACTCACCTGAGAATATGCTCGCAATGGCGGCTATAATAAAACTAATAACGACGCCGGGTCCGGCCATCTTTTGTGCCACCAGACCGGCAACAAGGTACATTCCGGTGCCGCAGCAGGATCCAATGCCCAACGATGTCAGGTCCAGGGTATTTAGACATTTCTAACCGGAATATTATCATATATATATTTATCAATCAAATAATGCTCTAACCACAGCACAAGGTCCTTTCGAAGAGCTGAATTCCCTCACTCGAGACTATATCAAAATTCTCCTTACGAAGCGAACCGGTTTACTTTATGTTAAAGCTCTTATGGGAATTATCGGTCGATAATTAGGTAATATAACTTTTAATTTGATAATGCTCCTCAATCGAATCTTATCAAGCTCCGTTTAATTTGCAGCCAAAGCAAAAAAGAAGTGGAATCACTTAAAAAAAACCTCTCCTGCTTTGGAACCAATGGCTAACCTTTGAGTTCGGCTCGTGAACCAGTTCCAAAATGAACTGAAGTTTTGTGGTAAAACAAATTGTTATCAATTTGAAATGAAACAATTCAATTTTAAATTCGCAACAAATATCTTTCTTTTTATACTTTATACAAAGTAGTCTCTCATATATTTTTAGAGGGTATTCAATGTTCGGCGTACCGCATATATTTTATTGTTCTTGTTATTATACCCATGTAGAGGGTATTATAATCTTGTCATGAAGTATGTAACGCATAGGAAGGAGACAAGTCCGATCCCATAAGCTATATATATTCTAAATCAGCCGAGTTCGTCTTTCCCTCTGTCCGTCCGTCTGTCTGTCTCTTTCTATGCTCTTTCTATCCGCTCAGTTTTAAAGCTATCGACTTGAAACTTTGTATAGGCAATACACATGCCCGCATTTCATATATCGAATCCGTCCGGATCGGAACACTATATCATATAGCAGCCATAGGAAGGAAGAGTAGATTCTTGTGGGGAAACCTTTTTTGTTTATCAAGATATCTGGACAAAACTCGGCATTTATAAGTTCTCTCTAGATATATGCTAAATCGTATCAACATCGGCCCACTATATCATGGGAAAGATCTGTCGAAAAGAAGCTTCTGGTCTGGCAATATATTCTGTTTTCCAAGATATTTCCAACAAATTCAGCCTATGCGAGCTTCACTATTCTCACATATCTGCAAAACCTGCAGCCAATCATCTACAAGGGTATTAAATCTTCGGCGTGCCGCAGATATCCTTACTTCGTTCAAGTAAATTATAGTAAAGTCGTACTAAATAAAGGGCCAAAAAGTTTTCCATTGCAAATATGCTTCCAAATGGCTTCAGCTCCAACTTTCCTTTGTTTCGATTTCTAATTAAAATTGCGGGTTTGAACCGCCAAAGTTCAAACCCAGCTTGTTGCCTCGATTACAGCTATTTTGAACGGTTATTTAAGCTGCGCTTGACCGAAATTAACGGTTAATTGTTATTTACCGTTATTTTTACTTACCGTTAACTTGGGCTTTGTGGGCTGTGCATTGCCATCCTGCAGCTGCTTCACATCCTTGGTGCGTATGAGCTTCGGCAGCAGCGTCGTGGAGCTGACGCCCGGCGGCAATGGCACCCTGAACTTGACCTGTCCAAAATCGAAGAAGAAGAGCCAGAAAGAAGAAGAGGAAGAGTGAGAGGAAGAAGAGGCATTAGCACAAGTGTTAGCAGAAGAGGCAGTTCCTTAATTGACATCAGACTCGAGTTGGCCCCAATGAACCGAAAGGCACTTCTTCTTCCTGCACACATACATATACATACATATACATACATACATATATATATATACATATATTTATATCCTTTGTGAAGGCAAAAAGATGAAAGTGGCTTTCGAGAGCTGCGAGGCAATCAAATATTAAATAAAGGAAATATATTAAAAAAAAAAAAAATAATAATAATGCAGCAAAAGAAAGGAAGCTGTTAAAAGTCGAGTGCGCTCAATGCCAGAGCGTAAATTGAAAATGCCTGCAACAGGCCCGCAGCTACGCAGTTTCCCCCCCCCCTCTCCACCACCCCCTCCTCAGACAGCCATCCCCCCCACCCCTTTGGTATCCTTACAGGCTTTGAGCCAGAGAATCGATATTTGCAACAAGTTTTCTGCGGCCTACGCAGCAGCCCGCTAAAGGCCATTTCCTGCACAGGATACACGCCTATATAGATATATATAAATGTGTGTGTGTGTGTGTGGGTGTGGGTGTGTGTACACTCAGCGAAAAAGTCAAGCATTTTCTGCGCAAATCAAGCGCCAACGTTTGACAACAGCAAAGCTCAAATGTTTCAAACTTAATGCTAAAATTAAGCTGTTAACATTGCCCAATAACAGACAATGTCAATATATTTATATTGAATTAAGATCAAGCTAACTTATTTTAAATTTTTATATTCCTTTTACACAAATTTTCCCAAGTACAAGACTTGATAACAGCATTTAAATCATAATCAAAAGTATATTTAAGAATTTTTTATTCAAGTCAAAAAAATCTTTTTTCAAGTTTTGCACACAAAACTTAAATATAGTGCTCTATTTAAAAAAAAAAATTTGCAAGCAAGTCCTAAATTTCTTGGCCTGAGCCGAAATGAGCTTATTTTAAGAAATGTTTAAAATTCCCGAATGCTCGTCCAAGAATATTTGTACGCAGAAACTTAAAAAAAGTACTTAAACTAAGAAATAACTAAATACGATTAAATAAACTGCTTTATTTAAGAAAAGTTTATAGCCAAGCCCAAGATTTCTAGACTTGAGCACAAAGGAACCTATTTTATGAAATTTATATGATTTATCTTCAAATTCCTGAGCTGCCTTGATCAAGAATATTTTGCACGCAAAAACTTAAATGCATTGCTTAATTTAAGAAAAATTACTTAAATTAAGAACAAATGTTCTTAAAATGTAACTAAGCACCAATTTTCTAGGACTGAGCATAAAAAAACCTTTTTAAACATTTTTTTTAAATTTTAATCTCAAAATTTCTCAATGTTTGATCAAGAATATTGTGCTTAAATCAAGTAAGATTGTTGAGCCAAGTTCAAATGTTCTTCAACTGAGACCGAAAATCTTAATTTAAGAACAAATTTTCTAAATTACGAAATTGTTGAATACTATACCTAAACGCACATACTTAAGTTAAGCTCAAATTTACTTATTCTAAGCTGAGAATTCTTATATCAAGTTTTCTTTTCTTTTCTTTTTAAGTGAAAGTTCTTTAATTCGACTCAAGTGCAAATGTTGTGAAGAGCTAATCATGCTCAAAGTATCTTTTTCTAAGAACTAATTTCTTAGTTTAAGAATATATTTTATTTAATCCTCAAATTCTCAGCATAATTTATAATATTATGCTCACATAATTCCCACTGAAATGAACGTTAATGTGATATATATTATTCCCATATAATTCCTACTTAAATATACGTATTTTAGTCTAAATTCAAGAAATAACGTGCTTTGGTTCTCATCGTAGGAATATTTGAATTAATTAATGTGTCAAATAAAAGATGGGCTATATTTAATTTAAGAACGAAAATAACTTAAAATATGACAAATTAACAATTGCAAATCTTATCTCAAGCCCAAGAATGTCTAAATAAAAGACTTTGATAAGGTGCTCACTTGAAGAAAATTAAAAATACATCTTCATCTTTCAAGTATGAAAGTGCTTAAAGTAAGTTAATTTTACCTAACTTTTCTTTTAAGTGTGAATGTGCTTAAAGTAAGCAGTCTTCACTTTATTTTCGCCGTAAATTTGCATGATTTATATTCCCAAACCGAAATTTCCCAAAATACACCTCCATTAAGAACGCATCTTGTGCTGGTTTTAAGCATGCAACTGCTTGAAATAAGTAGTTCTTTACTTAATTGTGCCACTTTTCAGACTGAAGAGCACTTAAGAGCGAAATGCACGGGAAATTCAGCCCTTTAAGACTGTTGCCACCTTTTTCGCTCAGTGTATTTGGGCACCTACAAATATATGTATTTCTGTTTATATTTAGCCACAGCTCTGTGCTGTGCAGCTGTGGGCGTGGCATGCTTTGTGCTGCTTGTGCTTGTTATATAACCACTTCACTGCTGCTATCCTAAACACAATGCTCCATTTCCTTCCCCTCCCCACCACCCACGCACACACACAAACCTCCCCCCCCCGTTGCCCTAGATCTAATGATTCAATAAAATTGCGCCAGCCAAATGCAACAAGCACTTGCTTCCAACTAAACTCAGCCCGCAATTTCCCCCACCCTGCTGCACTAAAGTGGTTGGTATTATTGTTGCTGCAAAGGAAAAAGGTCATCGAGTGGCCGGAGGGAGAGGGGGGGGGGGCTGAGGGGGGGCAAAGGCAGCAGCCGAGCGCAGTGACAATATCAACATCAACAGCAGCCACAGCCGCAGCCGCAACGCCAGAGCCGAGCTGAATGGCAAACACGAATCGAACACAGGCTCTTTGTTTGTCTTCGAAAGGTTGCCCTCACCCCGGTCCCCCCCCCTTCCCCCCGCTGACAACCACAACCCCCACGCCCCGGCCGCCCACTCCATTGCTATCCTGGCTCTGTTGCTGCTCATCAAATGCCATCAACTGGAAACTCAATTCAAGCCAAGTCGCCCGCGGACTGCGCTCAAGGCTAACGTTACATATAGCTGGCTGGCAAAGCAGTCGCAACGACTGCGCGAATACACTGTAATTGGCTTGGAAGGCTCAAGGAGTTGCAAGGTGAAAGATACAAAATATTAATTATTCATTTTATTATTATTTTCATTATTTTATTTCATTATTATTCTTATTGCTGTTATCATTATTATTATTGTTATTATTATTATTATCATTATTATTATTATTATCATTATCATTATCATTATTATTACTGTTGTTACTATTTTTATTATTATTATTATTATTATTATTATTATTATTATTATTATTATCATTATCATTATCATTATCATTATCATTAGCATTATCATTAGCATTATCATTATCATTATCATTATCATTATCATTATCATTATCATTATTATTATCATTATCATTATTATTATCATTATCATTATTATTATCATTATCATTATCATTATCATTTTGATTTTTTTTATTATTATTCTTACAATTTTTATTATGAATTTTTATTATTTTTACAATCAAAATTAGCTGTAACCCCAAGGCATTTCCACTCAAACTGTGATTTTTAGAGAAAAAAACACATTTTTGCGAATTGTGAGATAAAATATTTTTAGGTCATTTTAAAGGGAAGCTCAACTAAATCAACTGCCAGCTAAATTTGGCGACTTTAGCTCGAAAACTGTGGCTGAGCTATTGATTTTTGCGCCTGGCACGCCCCCAAGTGGGCGTGTACAAAATAATTAAGCAGCTTTTACGGAAGAGGTAGGATGAAAATAATGAACACAGTATTCACATTTTCCCAGCTATAACTAATACGCCCGCTTTTGCACTTGGCACAGTGGAACAGTGTACAATAAACACAAAATTCGTTCCAATGGGTTGATTTTTGTTAAGTGCTTGAGTAGCCAACTATTTATTGTTGTGTAAGTTGAAAGCCAAGAAATTAGCAAACAAACTGTGCGACAAAAGACTCAAGAGGTTCCTCGAAGAGGAACTCGAGATTCTTAGCACAATTTCCTTCTAATGCCAGCTTAAATATTGAATTGAATTGTTGGAATACTATTTGTAGTTCTTTCATGTTGTAAGCTGAAACCCTTGAGAATGTTTCCCAGAAAGCGACTATGATCTTATCTCGGAGTGGATGTCGATTCTCCTATCTCATATACAGATTATAAATATTTGATTGGAAATATTTTCCTCTGAAACTGTAGGAAAAGGAACCCTTTGTTATGAGTTGGACTCTTCCAGCCCTGAATATTTCAAAACGATCGGACTATAAGCACCGAAGTTAAGCAAGAATATATTTTCCATGCATAGAAAGTATGGAAAGTAAGTAAGAAAGGGACTTAACGCTGGGCTCAGGCCATCTCACAGTCCACTTGATTGATTGATTAAGATTAAGATTGATTGATTGATTAAGTTTAAAACCAGCTCAACCTAAAATAAATAATTTAAGCATATTTTCTTTGCTGTTGAGAGAGTTAATCTTTTAATATACAAATATTTCTTTGAGTGGCTCGAGGTCCGCTCCTTTAATATAAATATATCCATACTTTTATTTGATTAACTTTTGACCATAAATATTCATTTCACAAATTGAATGCAGCAAACAAAAACATTTTGCCATTCAATATAACTTTCAGCAGCTTTGCTTAATCAAATCAAATGAAATAATTGTAATTGAATTTGGCGCAGAGCTCATCAAAAGTCGAAACAAATGCGAAAAGCTTTGGCTTTAAAATTCCTCAGAATTTATTGATTTTACGTGATTTGCGTGGGCTGCAGAGGGCGTAACCTAAATTTGTTGCACATTCGATTTGGATTTATCCTCATGGCAAATATAATTGGCAAAAAAATAAAAGAAAAGTCGACGTGCTTAATATACACACACACACATGCATATATGTATGTAAGCCAAATAGACGCTGAATTGTGGGCATTTTGGAGGGTTTATTATGTTGTTGCCAAAATGTTCTATTTTCGATTTGAGCCGCGCCACTGGGGCGTATGCGCAATGTGCGTATGAGTGATATTTAGAGAATAGCATCAAAAAGTATATCCACACACACACACACACACACACACACACACGCGCGCACATATATGAAACTCATTTGTTACTTGCTGAGCAGCTGTAAACGTTTCCGCTGCCCACAGTTTTCCAATTTTCGGTACACTGATAGAAATCGGTTGTGCTTTCGTAAAAAAAACAGTTGAATATGTGTCTAATAAGTCGTCTGTTTGTCCTGACGGAATGATAAATTGCCAAATGGAAAAATAAAGTTTCGTTCATATAACCTTTGACCCGCCTCCTTATATCCAAGAGGAATGGATTTGTTCATATAACCTTTGACCCGCTTCTGTATATCCAAGAGAAATGGATCCAAAAAAAAAAAGGATGACAATTAATTAACAAACATCTTTGAAACAGGGTTTGGTGACCATTCATTGATAAATGAAAATGGTTCAAACAACTGTTTTCCACCTTATTTCCACCTATTTTCTACAATTGCGGGTGGAATACTCTAAAAACCCCTCACATAAATAAAACTACAGACAAAATGTAAGCTGCCTTACTCTCACAATTTGGCCTGTGCGTGGATAACCCATCAGTCAGTCAATCTGTCGGTTAGTCAGTCAATCAAACAGTCGCACACATATGCAATTACTTTCGGTACTTGTTGAGTAACTGAAGGCATTTCTGCTTTAATCTCAGCAGCTGCCAATGGCAATGCACAATTTCCACTACACTGCTAAAAAGTCAGCTGCAAGTTGTTCTGCTTGTTATTGTTGTTGTTGTCATAGTAAAAAACTGCTAGAGTGGGCCATTAAAAAAATGTAATAGACAACCCACTCGCTGTCCAAAGTGGACATATGTATAGTAAGTACATACAGACACACACACAGACACAGCATGGGGTATATAAATATGTATGCGCGCTGTGAATTGGGATGGGGGAGGGGGGGGACTCTAAAACTGTGTAACTGGGCAACCGAGCGCAGTCATAAAGATAACACCCAGCGGAGCCAAAATGCTGAAACTCTCTGCCAACCCCGCGCTGCCATTGGCATGCCCTAACCCCACACCGTTTGTTCCCACAGGGTGTTGTATTCTTTTTTTCTGTTGTTTTTTTTTCTGTTTTTCACTTCGGCTTTGGCGCTCGTCGTCCTCGTCGCATGTTTTACTTGCCGCGTACTGACTTTGTGTACGTGTGTGTGTGTGTGTGTGGGTGTGGGTGTGTGTGGTAGTTATGTGGGTGAGCTGCGAGTGAGCAGTGAAGCTTCGCAGTCAAAATGGATTTGCATAAGTCGACACACACACACACAAGCAAACATGTACGCACTGGCATGTGTGCGTGTGTGCTCGTCTATCATAAAGCCCATTAAATGCCAAATTCGCCTTGGCAAATGCTTCATTTGTCTAAGCACACGCACGCACACAAGTATGCGCCATTTTTCGCCGTGTGACAAGTGTCACTTGTCAGCACAATTCGCTGTGCATTTAATATTTTTTTTTTATTTGCACCTTATTTGTTATTTGTTACCTTTTGCAACACTAGCAGCAAATCCGATGGCTTCATTGTGTGTGAACGGCACTTAAATTTCGCAAATGTTTATGTTTAACTGTAAATGCACAGCTCTAAGCGGCTGTTGCTGCGCTGCTGCTGCTGCTGCTGCTGCGTTGCTGCTGCTGCTGCGTTGCTGCTGCTTTTGCGTTTGCTTCCTCTTTTTGCTGTTGCTCTCTATTTCTTGTTGTTGTTGTTGTTGTTTTTGCGAACAATTTGTACTTGCTGCTCCTTTTGCGCCCACGCAGCGCTAGGCCTGCTGCCTGCTGCCTGCTGCCTGTGTCTCAGTGTGCGGGTGTGCGTGTGTGTGTGTTGCGGGTCTTTTTGGTGCGTGCTTGTGTGTGTATGTGTGAATGTGTCTGTCTGTTTGTTTATTTGTATGGGTGCGTGCGTGTCAACGGCGGCGCAGACTGGCTTTTGTTCTTGTTGTTGTTGTTGTTGTTGCTGCTGCTGCTGTTGTTGCTTTTATCGCTTTATATTTTACATTGATTTTTGTCTGCAACGTCATTCTATATTCAACAGTTTTTGAGCTTATTGTTGCTGCTGGCCGCTCTTAATCGTTTGTTGTTATCGTTAGGCATTCACAGCTGCAAATTTTAATTTCATTTTCAATTTCCTGCACACTCACACACATATACACAAACACAAAATTCACTTTCACTTTCGCTTTCACGCACATTGAAAAAGGCAGAAGCAGCGACGTTGACGCCGGGGTCGTCGCCAACGCCAACGCTGACGCTGACTCTGACGCAGCTGCCCTGCTGCCCTGCTGCCAAAACTCGGACTTCGCTAGGGCCACACTGTCACTTTCTCTACCTTTGTCTATATTTGTGTGTGTGTGTGTGTGTGTGTTGGTTTTGTTGCGCGCGTTTGATTCACGTGGCCCCACACACACACACACACACATACACAAAAACACACAGCATTAATGCAAAATGCAATAATTGCAAACACATATACACGCACACTGTTGCAAAAGTTGCCAAATATAACATTAACAAAAAATCGCATACACACGCACACAAGCACACACATTAAAAAAAAACAAATCCAGTTACAGGTATAAAAAAAATTCCAGTTGCGCGTGCAGCAAAGCGTAATTTTCTTTTATTTCTATATCATTTCTATTTGAATTTTTTTTTTATGTATTTTTTTCTGCCGTAATTGCACGCGCGAATATTTAACTACAGTTTGAGACTCCGGACTCGAACTCGCTGCGGCGTTTATTCCGTGAATGAATGATTGCAATTTTTCCGTGTGTATAGCATTCTTTTTTTTGTGCTTCTCTTTTCTTTTCCTTTGAGGAACAATAGATACGCTTTTCACTCCCGTTTGAGTCGTTGCTGGCTTCTGCTGCTGCCGCTGCGGCGACTGCTGCTGCTAATGCTGCTGCTGCTTCTTCTTTCACAGTTGCTTTTGGCGTTTCAAAAAAAAAAAAATGAAATGAAAAAGGCAATGGCAAAAGAAGAGAGATGGAATGAAAAAGCTTTCGGGACTGCCCTTTGCAGCTTCAGTCGTGTGCATGTGTGTGCGCCTGAGCTGCTGCAGAGCGAGCGAGAGCGCGAAGTTTGTTGCGCGCTGCTTAACAAGTTGTTGCCAGACCAGCCGCTGGCAGCGCGGACATATTTCACAGCGGCCAAACTGCTGGATCTGGCAACTCCAGCAAAGCAAAGCTTTTCGACTTCCTGGCTGCTCACAGGCACACTCACACTCACACTCACACACACGCACACGTGTGCACGCGTGTATCTATAACAGAGTTCGTTGTTGCGCGAAAGCTGTAAGTGTTTGTTTTTGTTGCCTTTGTTCTGTGCTCAATGCAAACTCTCTCTCGCTCGCTCTCACACATCCTGCCTGCGCTCGCACGCCCCAAACTGAAGCGACGCTCGAAAGTAGGCAACGCCAAATGCAGCGACCAATCGCGCAGTCGCACGAGCGTCAAATTTGCCCTCTCGCTCTGCCCCGCTCTGCCGCTGCGGCTCACAGACACAGACACACACACACACAAACGCACAGACTTTCACTTTTTTCTTTTTTTAATTTATCGCTGGCTCACCCTCAAGGATATGCAAAATGCTGGCGAATGTGTCATAAGACCGAAAGCTTGTGTGCGCACACACCTGTTATCACAATTGGGGGACTCACCTCAACATGTTATTCAATCTAAATATGATTAAAGCTCTTGCAGCGGCATTTGCTGTGCGTGTGTGCGTGTGTGTGTGTGCGTGGATGTTTTTTTTGTTATGCGTAGCGAATTTCAGGGTTAAACATGCGACACTTTGTGCGGCCTTGCTGGTTAGGCTGGTATGCAGCTCACACACATTGTACGCCTACTGTATGCTAGATGGCGCTTTGGCCTGAACCGAGGAATTCTTTCATTTATGCTTATTTTTGTAAGTACTAGTTTTATTTATAAACTACATTTCAACTGCCCTCTTTATCTGTCCCTCCCTCTCTCTCTCTCTCTCTGTCTCGCTCTCTCTCTCTCTCATGAACTGTTACTGACTTTTGCATACTTTTAGGTATATTGGGTTGAATAAACCCGCATAAATGCACTCCAGCTGCAATATCGCGGCAAATGTAACGTTTCATATACCCTGTTTAGAGGATCGATAAAGGGTTAGTTGGTTTTCGTGCCATGTTCGCCGAGCTGTTTGCCCTATGTAGCTGGAAACTTGACCACGCACATTGCGGAACGGTTGAGGACCCCTTCAAAAATGGAGCATTGATCGCACAGTTTGAGGGTCACACCCGCCGGGCTACAGTTGTAGAGTCATCAGTACAATCATTAATCCGCTCAGCGTGCGCAAGCTTCTTACTTGTTATACCCTGTAAACAGTGCAAATGGGTTTTTTAATGCTTTGATAGTTTTGTAGTGCTTATGTAACAAGCAGAAAGAAAGAAGATTCTTCGATCCCATTAAGTATAAATTATGTATGTTTCGGATCAAGCAAGAGACTGTGACTCTCACAATCGCACAAACTATTTTTTTATAGTGTGGGTTGAGCAGAAGCGTGTTTGTTTGTGAGAGAGAGAAAGAGAGAGAGCGAGAGAGAGAGCAAACGCTTGTTATACCAGCTCGTTACTAGGTACAGGGTATCTGCTAGTCGAGTGCTCTGCGTGTAGGAGAGAGAGAGAGAAGAAAGATCAAAAGTTAGTTATAGCAGCTTGTCGCTAGGTACAGGGTATCAGCTAGTCGAGTGCTCTGCGTGTGTATGTAGGAGAGAGAGAGAGAAAGAGAGAGAGAGAGAGAGAGAAGAAAGAACTAAACTTCGTTATATCAGCTTGTCGCTAGGTACAGGGTATCTGCTAGTCGAAGACGCAGCGTGTGTGTGTGATTGAGAGAGAGAGAGAGAGATAGCGTATATATCAGCGTTTAATTAGCTACAGGGTGTCTGCTAGTCGGTCACACTCGACTCGACTCGACTTACTTGCTTTTAATGTATGTAAACGAAATACCGATCTCCGTCTGCGTCTGCGTCTGCCACAAACGACTGCTGCGGCCAGCCATGTGTGTGTATATACGGTAAATATACATATAAAGTGTACTATTTTACAAGTGTGTGCGTGTGTGAGTGTGTGCATTAGTGTGCGATCCCTACGGTTGTTAATATGCCAGTTTTTAAAAATAGCGACTATAAATCTTATAGAGCGTCTCGTTTGCCCAGACCCAACAACGTTCGAGAGAAACATTCTGTGCGCCATCTCCCTCTCCACCCCCCCCTCTCTCTCTCTCCATATCGCCGCCCCCCCCCGCCCCCCACCCTCTCATAACTCACCACACGATGCGCCACTGTAAATCGCTTCCCAAATCCGTCACACACTCAACTCAGCAGTACAGCTGCCTGTCTGTGTGTGCGTGCGTGTGTGTGTGCGTGTGTGTGTGTGTATGTATGCGGGAACTATTGAAAACTAATGTTACTTAAGAAAATCCTAAAATCTACGAGGAAAACAACCGCACAGCCCCCAGAGAGATACAGTCACCGGCGACAACAACAAAGATGATGACAACAGCGACGGCAACAACAACAACAAAAGCGACAACAACAACAACAAAAGCGACAACAACAACAACAACAAGAGCAACTACTACAAAAACGAAGCGTAAGCAATGTTAACGAGTAAAAATCAAGAAAATTTTTGCTTCTAAAAATAACTCTTGTACTCATTTTCTTTCAAAACAGCAACAACAACAACAACAACAGCAAAAAAATCGAAACAGAAAAAAATAAACGAAAAAGAATAAAAGAAAATACAGAGGAAAATAACAAGAAAACCAAACCAAAGACAATAGCTATAAAACGCAAAGATACCGACAATATACTCGAATCGCATACAGCCGATATATATGCATATATATATGTATATAGTATATATGTATATGCATTTACATTTATCATTCAGATATGTTTTTTCGTAGAGGTTTTTGCCGTTGCTCGCTTTGTGCTTTGTGCGTGTTTTAATATTTAACTAGGCACAAATATTTGTTAATTCTTTTATTTTTTATAAGAACAATATTTAGTTGACCTATTTTAGGCAAATTTTCACGTTATTTATGAAGATTTTCCATGTTCTTAATAGTAAACGGAGCGGAAAGTCCAAAAATAATTGATTCCTGGTTCGGTTCACGGCTGGAACCAGATTCCTGCTCTTAGGTTCGGCTCAATTCGGTTTCTGGTTCGGTTCCTGATTCGGTTTCTGGTCCGGTTCCTGGTTCGGTAGTTGGTTCGGCTCCTGATTCGGTTCCTGGTAAGGTTCCTGATTCGGTTCCTGGTTCGGTACTTGGTTCGGTTCCTGATTCGGTTCCTAGTTTGGCTCCTGATTCGGTTCCTAGTTTGGTTCCTCGTTCAATTTCTGATTCGGCTCTTGGTTCGGTTCCTGGTTCGGCTCCTGGTTCAGTTTCTGATTCGGCTCTTGATTCCTGATTCGGTTCCTAGTTTGGTTCCTGGTTCAGTTTCTGATTCGGTTCCTGGTTCGGTTCCTGGTTCAGTTCCTGATTCGGTTCCTAGTTTGGTTCCTGGTTCAGTTTCTGATTCGGTTCCTGGTTCGGTTCCTGGTTCGGTTCGTTCAGCTGGTTTAACCATGCTTGAACCTAGGTTTTGGTTTGTCATATATTCTCCAAAGTTTGA